ACTAACCTTTACTAATGTTATAATTATTATTTTCTACTAAGTATTAATACATTCTTTTTTTTTGCGACTGAGGCGCAAAATAGCTTATGTGGTCTCTGGTAGAATTACCAACGCTGTGGAACATTCTGCTCCTCAGCATAATGCTGATCCAGGGCCAATTACAGCCACAGCACACACGCATTACATACTTGAAACAAACCGAATGGGAAAAGGAAAAAAAATATATATTTCTCAAAATATCTTTTTATTAAATTTTTTCTCTTTGATTATTGTTATTTTGTGTGTTTATGTGTGTGTTTTTTTGTTTGTAATAAATCATATGTCTATGTCTATTTCCATGTTATACCTATTAAGTCTGCTGAACTTTGTCACGTTATGTAAGTATGCGCTGAAACCTACCCCTTATGTAACTCACGTACTAGCTTGCGTCTGGCAAGCACAACCCTTATCTGTTGATCGACCTTGTTACGTCAACGCTTGTAGACGTTCCAACTTTGGCCATCCATAAAACGCTTTAAGTACTTTAAAATTTATTGCTACTAAATAAAATGGAAAAGAATATTCGCAAGTGATGTTAATAACAACTCCAAAATTCAACATTTTCTTTTATGACTGCGTAACAAAAGGATATAAATCAGTAAATACATCACAATATAGCTTTAGTCAAAGCTCGTGGACCGATACCTATTTATAGAATTAAGGTAGAAGCCCAAGCTACAATTCATCCAACGATCCAACAGGATAAAATAATTTAGAGTGGTGAAATTTATTGCCGCCCACTCTCTGCCCTAGTTATCGATCGATGTCGGTATCTGTTTGCGAATGTTTTAAGTAAATCCCCTCGACTGTTTTCCACATGCTCTAGATATTTTACATCATCGCTTCTAAACCATTTTTATGTCGCGAGCCACGAAAATAGTATTGCCACTTCGTTACTGTGAAATTATAAATTAGTTTTATAACACTACACTATAATTATCAATTCCTTTAATAAACGAATCTTATGTACCTATATGTAGTTTGTATTTATTATTCTTCAACAGACTGCGACCCCCTTTTAAAACAAACTCGACGCCCTCCCCCCCTCCCCAAGGGTCGCGACCCTCCGCTTGAGAAATGCTATTACAGTCATAATCCCTAACCTTTTCAATCTTCTTTTAAACTCATAGTAACCTCCTACGTCCTAGTTATAAGATTTATCTTTGTTTTGTTTAAAAGAAAAATATTTTTTTTATATCGGTCGTATCTCTCAGGGAAGACCCCCACCGGGAGTCGATTCCACAGTCGGTAGTTCGCAAAAGAAAATGCCTTGTGAAACGGACTGTGGAAGACAGCCATCAAGGTGATGTTGATAAAATTGTTTAGTTATACAACATGTGCATGTATATATTTAACAACATATAAGTTATAACTCGTTAAAATATGAATATTCTCGTAACAATATTCTTTTGTTGGGCTCTCAAATAGGCGACAGCAATTACACGTCTAAATCTTAGCTTAGTTGTGCGCAGTGCGGCTGTCGCTTCAAAGATCTTGAATATCCTCATTAAAACATGTTACACAACCAACTAATCGCCATATCACATACGGTATACTTGGTAATCTTATACACACACACAAATTATGCGTTAGGGTCAACTTTGTAGTTATTCCTGCCACCCACGACAATCTCATAAGGACACGCTTTTATTCACGACATCCGACAGGAAGTAGCATCACTTGCGTCAACGCACAGGACCTTACTGCTAGACTATAAGGCAGACGACTCAAGAGATTGTATATATTCCAATATACATATATTATTCATAAAAACTGCAAGCCAAATTGAACTTTTAACTTAAGTTCTTTTATGTCTGCTTTGTGAAGGGTTAGAATATTTTAATTTATTCAAATTTAGAATTAGATGTACTAGCCACTTTGGCCTATTCATGTCGTATGTTACGCGAATTATACAATGCTGGGATGGGCAAGTAAGGCCGTTGCTATTCATAATTTTATAGTAATCATCGTATCGTATTGAACTATTCAGTTCTATTATACAATTTCCACGTATCTGTGTAACATGATATACAACAGACCATTATGGAGTGTACCTATATACTATCTAGATTTACTCTAAACAGCCATCAACTAAGTTTTATGTAACGTATTTAAATATTAGTGTATTCAGATAGTCCATTTTAACTACCTACGCATGTCTGATAAGTTGAATTATTATTAAAATTACTGATATTAAAATGTACATATTAAGTAAAATCATAAAACGTATTTTAAAATAGTCCTCGGTGATAAACATTATATATGTACCACGCCCGCACTGGCATTCTCGCAAGTTTTTGATCATATCATAGTTAGAAAGATTTTAATTTTTTTTTAAATTAAAGTCTAATTTTAGTCGCAGCTATAAAATTAATCTATTAACTCAACAAAAATCCCACGAAATCTAGTTTTTAATCCGCCCAAAAAATGTATCTAATTATTAACAATTATCCGTATTTTTAACTTTAATTTTATTTACATTACACAAGACTTCATTACTTACCATGCTAACTTTTACTAATATTAACTAAATTTAACTACCTACGCATGTCTGATAAGCTTAAATTCTGGGAAGTTGAATTATTATTAAAATTACTGATATTAAAATGTACACATTAATCATTATCATAAAATGTATTTTAAAATAGTCCTCGGTGATAAAACTTATAAGTAACTATATTATGTAACTTGTTTAAAAATTGAAGCAGCGTTAATGAATTGAAATAATTTGTAGAACACACATTTTCTATAACAAAATTTCTTTGACATTTAAACGGATTCTATAAGTATAAGGTTTCATCATAACATTCAAAGATATAACAATGATATATGTTTCCGTAATAAAATACAACCTACATGGGTACGTAGAATTTTTCCTACGGTATTTCGCGATAACCTTGGATGAAGATGAACGCGTCTTGAAGTGTGCTGTGTCCTCTGATACAAATGCGGATGCGCTCAATTGGTGCGCTCGCCGCCATCAAACTGCGTTAAACAACGCAAGGCTGTGAGGCTTTGTATATTTAAAACAATTTTTTCATATTGAATTAACTCTTAAATTTAAAAAGGCTTTTCTCATTCCTGCAGAGGCATTCATATTAAATAAATTCAATCAGTGTATATTTTAGAGTGTATATATATTGTTTAACTAAAGTGCTCATTTGTCTCCTCCAGTATATTAATGCAGCAATGAAGAGTGACAACTGCCTAAGTAACTACGGAGTTCACAAAGGGTTTACCGTAACAGACTACAAACTACAAATCGTCAGCCAAGAATAGTTAATAAGATCAATAACATTTTTAAGCAGTAATTCTTGAGTGTAAGAATAAATCTTCTTTTACACTCTTTTATTTATTTATTCAGGAAACTAAAATGAATTTAATTTTGATACAATGAAAAGTATTATGCATTGAATTAAAATAAAAAAATTGACTTTAATACAATGCATAATACTATCTTTCCAAATAAGGTATATTTTGTTTCGTAGGAAGGTAAAATATTTATAAGATGTATTTAAATACATTATTATGATTAATCATAATAAAAGCAAATTTATCAATAACTGTCAGTGATTAAGTTTGATATAAAGAAAAAAGTATAACCGTCGGGTAACTTTTATTCTTGTGGAATGGCATGAAGATCCAGTAGGAACCTTAAAAGCTCTGATCGCAAAGGATCATTGTAAAACTTTATACATAATTTACCAAGTGATCTTATAGAACTGGTAATATAAATCCCAATACAAAATATGCAAATTGATACAAATCCTTCAAGTAATAAAACTTGAGATATAGATCTTAACACCCAAATACTATTTTATTTCTGATAGTACAACAATCTGATGGTTTATATAGGTGTTGAAGTAATTCGCTATCAGGGGTAAATAGTGTCTTTTTATTTTTTTCATTTCTAATTGGATTCTAAATAGTGTTTTATACAAATGTTACTCTAATATCAGAGTGAAATTTGCAACTGTTTTATAAATTATAATAAGATACTAAATAATCGTCTCTCATATAAAATGCACATAAGAAAAAGCCGCCAGAATTTCAATTATAAAGAAACCAGAATATTTGTAGTAAACTTGAATTTTATATTTTTCTCATAAAGAATTAACAACTTAATCTCAAAATAACTAAGAGAATACTATTCTTAACAAGTAGACGGTGTTTCAGACGTTATTTAATTCATAATTATTTAAAATAACGAAAAAATTATGAACACTTTTATGCCGCGTACAAGGGTGTGGTCCTTAGTTATTTGGCACCCATAAATCGAAGTATCCAAGTCTGTTTTCGATAGAATTCAATGTATATTTAATGAGGCACGTGAAACGTATGCCTTTGAAGTGAATAAAACCGTTGTATATAAATAAAAAGAGAACTTACATCGAGAGATTCCTTTGACGCCATCTTTCACACAAACTATTTGACGTTTAAATTTGAATTTGACATTTGCTAGCAAAATATTTTGAAATCAATACAATCGGTGATCGGATACATTGAAGTGGACGTGATTTCCATACAAATATTTAAGGTTTATAACTTATAAAAATAATAAAACTTTTATAACTTAAAAAAGAGATGAGATTGTAACAATTGTTTTATTTATATATGTTTTTTTTATTCTATAATAAACTTAAATATCTTTTCTATCTTTAGAACAATTGACAACATACTAGTGACATTTAATGTAATAATGGACAAGAAATGTCAAATGATAAAAACAAAAAAATTAAAAGTAAAAACCGAAGATAGAAAAAGTCGTGTTCAATCCACGCATATGTACTTAAATAATAAAGTTATTTATATGTTATTAAATTTTACAGGAATATTCTAATTGTTTATTTCCTCTCAGCGTTAAATAGTAGGTGAAACATAAGGAAATAATGCCAAAACCGGGTTGTGTTGTTGTTTAGTGATAAAATTCTTATATCAACGCATAAATTTCACGAATAAAAATGAGGATAAGAAGATTATCAGCGTTCTTTTGGGCTACTTGCATTATAGCTTTTATATTTATTCTCTATGTTGTTACTGATCTAACATTTAAGCTACCCAGCATCAAACCAGCTATCGTAGAACTTGATGATGTGAGTGTAATATTGTAATTACTAAACTAGTGAAGTCACTTTTATAAATCTTAACAATTCACTAAGTTATTGTTCTAACAAATGTCTATCCTGTAAACAACTAACATTTTATTTTACTTCTATTCAGTCTATTATGTTTTCAGAGTAAGTGGTCTTCATTTGAGTCAAAGCTACGCCACATAGAGAAGGAACTAAATGAACATCATGCAGTAGTCGGAGAAATAAAAACGGCAATGGATCAAATTGTGGATCAAACAAATGAGGTCAATCATATGAAAAAGCCTAAAATTACTAAGAAACAGTCAAAAATAAGAGACTTTAAAGTGGTGGGAGATGAGCCACCAAGAATGAAAATTAAGACTAAAGTTAATATGTCATATTGCCCTATGAATCAACAGACATCTAAAACAGATATTCAGGTAACAATATGTAGTGTGCTCTGTAGTATTATTCTAACCACCGCCACTAAGTTTATTATTTTACTGGTAGCTTTAATGATGCTAGAGTTTAAGAGTTGCTAATTTTTTCTATCCTGTTAAATTGTTAATTTTTTCTATAGATTATTGTGTATAGATTTTAGTTTATTGTTATATTATTTTCAGATGTTATCAGTCTATGAAAGAATAAAGTTTGATGATATGGATGGTGGTGTCTGGAAACAAGGTTGGGATATTGAATATAAAGAGAGCCAGTGGAGTAGCAAAAATAAACTTAAAGTTTTCATTGTGCCACATTCTCATAATGATCCAGGTATTTCTGAAAATATTATGTTATGACTAACATGTGTTTTTTTTTATAATGGGTAATATAAATTTATTTTTCAAGTTCACCAAACCTACAACTTGAAAAGTATGAAGTGGTGTCACAGATACATTTTTATTAAAAGAAATCTCTTTTTTCAATAATAACATAAATTCTGACTTTTTTTTTCCAAAATATTGCGAATCATTGGTTGAAATATTTTATTGTTTAGTAGTAATATTTGTAGTGAATGAAAATTTAAAGAAAATATTTTCACATGATACTCTGTTTATTAAATACAGGATGGCTTAAGACGTTTGAAAATTACTACAAACTACAAACAAGGGCAATATTTACTAACATGGTGGAGAAGTTGTCAGAGGGGCATGGTAGGAAGTTTATTTGGGCAGAGATAAGCTATCTTTCTCTATGGTGGAATATGGATGCAACAGAGAGAGAAAAAACTGCTTTCATAAAGTAAGACTTAATAATGTTCAGGTTAATCACTAATGATTTTAATTAAATTTTACTTACAAGATTAGCAGCAGTACACCCTAGGGTATTTTTAGTCAGAGATAAATGATCAACCCTGGAGTTTGTAGGCAGATGGAGTCAAGTTTAATTGTTCGACTCTGATATTATCTAAGTCTGTAGATAGTGTATGAAGTTAATGGATACATAAATATCACAACCATGAGTTGAAGTCATTTACCGTTTACTCTTGATGCATGATCTACTATTTTGTCCAGATATATCTCTTTTATTTATTTATTTTCATTTATATTAACACTTCAATGCATTACAATATAAAAATTTAACATAATTAAATGAAAAGGAGGGCAACTATCTGCCTTATCGCTTTCTAGTGATCTCTTCCAGGCAACGGCTGGGAGAAAAAAAAAAATTTGTATGGGCTATGAATTTAACAGCAGCAATTTAACATTTAGAGCAGTACTGGCCTAGTGGCTCAGCGTGCGACTCTCATCCCTGAGATCGTAGGTTCTATCCCCGGCATGGACTTTGACATATGGACTTTCTTTCTATGTGCACATTGAACACTCGCTCGTACGGTAGAAAACATTGCGAGGAAACCGGCTTGCCTTAAACCCAAAAAAGTCGACGGCGTGTTAATAATATCAATATTGCAAATGAATTGAATTGCAAATAACATAGATTGGGTTACATTGATAATATCATTTTAAATTCATGACTATTCAAAGTAATCATCATCTTATCATTATTAATAAAACGAACAATTGATAAAGAAATAATAAACTCTTTCTCTGACCTACTAAAAAAAATGTACCGTCCTCGCTTATTAAGATAAGGTACATTCTGTATAGACCGAGACCTGAGATAGATAGATATCTGAGACCTGGGTTTGATTCCTGTGGAATTAATAATTGTCTCGTGTGTAAAAATCATAAGTGTTTGGCGCATTTTAAATTAGTACAATAAGGTTGTTAGATAAAGAATTGAGGAGGTTGTAATAGGAAACTATTTAATTTTTTTTTCACACCAATTGACCTAAGCTAAGCTGGTGAAGCTTGTGTTATGGGTACTAGGCAACGGATATACATACATATTATACATAGATAGACATATAAATACATATTTAAACACCCAAGACCTAAGCACAACACCAAATGCACATTACATCGATGTTTGTCTCAGCCGGGGATCGAACCCGGGCCCCATGGATTCGCAGTCAGGGGTACTAACCACTAGACCAATGAGTCGCCAAAACTGTACCATAAAACATATTTTAAACGAATCATTGCCCGACTAGTAGTCACGGAAAAGATAAATGTCTTTGGAAGGGAGATATATTCAATATATTTATTATCACAATGACACAGTGCGGAGAGAATTACGACGCTGGCATTTTAACATCTCACATCCAAGACTAAAATTTATGTATTCAGATTAAATTAGTATCGAAATCGTTCTTTATTTATTAATTTTTAATTACTTTTTCTTAAAATTTTAATGATAACAAAATATATTCTACACTCAATATGTTATAAATAGGTGCAGATCCCATACCATTATCTTTACTAGTAATTTCGTTTCATTATTACTTCGAATTGTAATGTCTTTATTATTATATTTATTGCTAAAGTGTTTTATGTAAAATTTCCTTACTAAATTAAAAAGATATATAATTACCAAACTAGCAATTATAATTACAGCTTATGTTGGCAATTGTATAGTTAATGCATTGATAATACCTTATTAACATGCAAATTATGTAACTAATTAATTTAAGTAGGAAAATTTTTAGAAATTTTACATTGAAAATGTAACAAGATTACCTCATAGGCATTGTACGTTATATGGAATTAACAAAAGTATTATTGAATATTCACGTGCTATTGGAAACTAGCGGATCTGAAAGACGTTGTTCTGTAGAAGTCTTACACACACAAAAATTAATAATATAAATAATTCTCGACTCCACTTGAGCACAAACAATATCATCAAAATATATATCATCAAAATATATGCTGTATATGTAAATATAGATACCGACTGCAGCGCCATCTGCCGGGCTGATTTGTGAATCTAAACCATCTATGGCGCCACCCAAACACATAAAAAGAAATTGATCGAAATCGGTCCAGCCGTTTAAGAGGAGTTTAGTGGCACAGTAGAATTACATATGTCACTTTTGGGGGAATAAAAAATATGAGGGAAGCCGGTCGATAGCCTTGGCGGTCTAAGACAGTTGCGCATTCAATTGACAGCATAAAGTTATTCTTTTGTCTATTCATTTGTTTCTGTTTGTAAAAAAAATCTATTTTATGATGGTTGCGATTCTGTGCTTAACTCTAATGAGTCTGTAATGTAAGGTTATCATTGTGAAATCGTTTAAATAAACAACATTTTCTATGCTATTTTAATTAATTGATTAAGAGGTCCTTTTGTTCTTGGTTCTACAAATTAAATATTAATCTATGATAAATAAAATAATATAATTAATGAACGAACAAATGTATCAAAACAGGAGATCTTAATTATGAATATAATCTTCATTCTTTCAGCTTATTGAAATCTGGCAAAATCGAAATTGTTACTGGAGGATGGGTGATGAACGATGAGGCAAACTCTCACTGGTTATCAATCATTCAACAACTCACTACCGGACACCAGTGGTTGATCGAAAATCTGGGATATACACCACGAAACAGCTGGGCCATTGATCCGTTCGGCCATTCCAGCACTCAGCCATACTTGCTAAAGCTGGCTGGTTTCGAAAATTCCTTGATTCAGCGCATACATTACAGAATAAAGAAAGAGTTGGCCCGCGACAGACATTTAGAATTCAGATGGCGACAATTGTGGGGTAAGATTCTTTTCTTCTTTCCCTTGTAAAGAAAGGTACTACTGTTTCTCCAACAGCAGGTAGGATTTACGACCAGTCGAAATTCTGACTGGTCCATAAACCACAGTGGCTAATGTCGAGATGTTGTATATATGTCGCAGCCAACTAGTTTATATCTGTTTAATCAACCAAGACTTTTAACTCAAATTCAAAATCCTTTATTCATTTAGATGACACAATGTACACTTATGAACGTCAAAAAAAGAATATATATTAAAATTAAATTTTAATTTACATTTACTGCCAGTTCTCAAATCAAGGGCGTAGAACGGAAGAGAAATGGCAATAAACTCTCGCCACTCTTTTTAATCGCCAAGTTTTTTGTATTACAAAATGTTTGTAAGGAGCTGCAACCATTACACCATGTTTCACATGACATCTTTAAGTAACTTACATTCTCAAATCATATAATATATGATTATATTATATTATACTCGACGGATAATAACACTTCGATAGAGCCGTTCAGGGTTTGAAGTCATTATACACATTGTAGCTATCGCAACTATTTCTATGCAATAATTTTACCTTTGTAAATTCGTTATTTGTTAATGACGGTATTGTTTTTCAGATGGAACGGGCAAAACAGATATGTTTACACATATGATGCCATTCTATTCATATGACGTACCTCACTCCTGTGGCCCAGATCCTAAGGTTTGTAAACGAAATATTTGGCTAATACAGGCTTTCTTAGAATATTTAGAAAATAGTGAGCAACTTAAAAAACATTTTAAATTTTATATTATTAATAATTGATATGAAATAAATTGGTGTTTTTCATCAAAAGTTTCACTTTCTCCATCTCGTATATTCTATCCTTTAACTCCTTCCTATCTCACTTATGCCTAATTTTCGTAATAACTGGTCTTAAATTATCGTGATTAATGTGCACTTTTTCTTTTCCATATGTTAAATTATTTTGTTTTTACATCAGATAAGGCCCGTTTGCCTCCTATTGCATTAAAGAAAAATAAAAAACAAACTATTGTATAAAGTACTTATTTCATTATTATTTTCTTTCAGATATGTTGTCAATTTGACTTCAAGAGATTACCCGGTAATGGCGTGAATTGTCCTTGGGGTATAGCTCCAATTAAAATCATTCAGAAAAATGTAGCTGAAAGGTATATTTTTCATACAAAAAAAATTTGATTGTCCATTTCTAAACGCTATAGTCATCGCATTATGAACTGAGGCTTCGGGTCATAAATCATATTTATCAGTCTGTCTCGCTCGCACTTCAAGCCTTATGGTGTAGTGATGTGCGTCAGAATTGTAGAAGTGCATACTACATATCGATAACGGGATAGGTACGATCGATATGCTAAAGTATGTTAAGTATTAATAGGAATAAATTTAGTATAATATATGTCACCATTTAATTACTTCAAAACCACGTTAGAAAGTAAATTCTCCATTGTGCGTATTGCGTAACGAAGCGTTAATATATATGAGTGTAACCAAAAATCTTATATTTATCGAAAAACAACAACCCTTACTCGTAACGAACAATCAGGAGTCCAGAGTGCGTGCGCAGGCTAAAATGCGTCGACTTTATAGTCTGATTTTTAATCCCGTAGAATTCTGACATTTCATAAGTGTTGCTGCTAAAAAAGTTCTCCGCCGAAAAAAGGAACTAATTTGACTTATTTGAGGGCAATAAAAAAAAATGTTACGTATTTTTTATGTTTTACATACAAAAAGGTAAATCTAAATGTTTATTTACTCAAGTGACCTAATACAAAAATAACAAATATTTCAATATCAGGAACAATATATCGAATTCACTTTAATTTCTTTACTTTATTCTTTAGCTGGCATAACTGCCAGGTTCACTAATTACAGGTTTAGTAAACCTTTTTAAAAAATAAAATGTTATCATTACATGTGCGTTTTTTACTGTTTGTGATAAAATTATTACGCAATTATCACTCGCCGTTAAACCACTTTTAATGCGGAGCACCGCACTTAATAAATTGGATACATTAACTAACAATAACATGTATGTATAGACTCAGATGTTCAGACTCGTATTGAAATTGAAAAACGTGCCCTGCCAAAAAAGGTTTGCCATCTCTGACATGTCAAAAAATGATAGCTGTCAGAGTTATTTACCGAAAAGTATTATTTATAGAGCGTCATTAATATTGGACCAATGGCGTAAGAAATCACAACTGTACCGGAGCAATGTGGTACTTTTTCCTCTCGGTGACGACTTCCGGTACGACCGTCCAAATGAATGGGACAACCAGTATTCGAACTATGAAATGTTGATAGATTATATCAATAATAATGACGCCTGGAACGCTGAGGTGGGTTTATTTATTTATTAAAAAAAAACAAATATTAATTTCATTTTCTTTAGATTTTACTTTATCTTAGTTATACCTAGTTACGTGTTATTTTGAGTTTTTTTTTGTTAATTCTTATGCACTTCTTGTACTTTACCCTCTGTAGGTGTTTTTTATTTTTCCTTATTAGGGTTGCCTGGAGGAGATCGCTTGTTAGCGATAAGGCCGCCCGTTGCCTTATAACTTATGTAACCTGCTTTTTTTTATATGTATGTTTTTGTATAAGGTAATAAAGTATACATAAATATATATACTAGTGGCGCATCCTTTTTAGTTCTAGGCTTCAGATTTCTGTATCTATTTCATGATGATCGATCTAATAGGCAAGTAGGTGATCACCTTACGATGTTTTTCTTCACCGTTCGAGCTAATGTTAAATGCGCCAATGCCAAGTCCATTGGTGCACAGCCGGGTATCGAAACTACGACCTCAGGGATGAAAGTACGCTGAAGCCACTAGGCCAACTTCTAGAAAACTTAACAACAAAAAAATAGTCGCTGTAGATTCCAAAGAACCAAACATTACAGGAAACGAAAAAAAATGTTTCATTTCGTTAATGTTCGTTAAATATTATTGTGTTTTTGTCCATAGTTTTCAATATTTATTCATAACATAAATTAGTCCTTGATGATTATACCAGTTAAATGACATAAAAGTCTAAGAATGAAAAATAAATGGTTTTTTGACATACGAGGTTATCATTCTAGTGACGATATAAATCTTTCCTCTTTGCAAAACTAGTACAAATTGTATTGATTTTGTTCACAAAATATTAAATGTAAATTACTTTTAGGTGCAAATAGGAACACTTAGCGACTACTTCAAAGCCCTGCACGAAGAAATGAAGCTTTCCGACTTTCCCGTGCTCTCTGGTGATTTCTTCACGTACGCAGACAGAAATCAACATTACTGGAGTGGATATTTCACTTCGAGGCCGTTTTATAAGAATATGGACAGGATTTTATTAGCGTATGTAAGGTAAGATGGATATTTCAATTTAATATGAATTTAATTGTGGACCACCACTATATAGAACTAGATGCCCATCGATAGTTTTTTTTTAAAAATTGATGTAAATATAAGGCCGGCCACGCATTCGCGAGCGCGGCATGTTATGGGTGAGACGCCCCGTTTTCTCTTGTTTCAATTATCTATATATATAAAACTAGCGTATCCGATAGACATTGTTCTGTACACACGTCTTACATACAAAAACACATATCTAATACTGTAAATCATTCTCGATTCTATTTGAACACACAAAAAAATTTCATCAAAATCTGTCTAGCCGTTTCATAGATACAGACTGCAGCGCCGTCTGCCGGACTGATTTATGAATTTTAATCAATTAAAGAATTCAAATCGCTCCAGCAGATCAAGAAGAGTTCAGTGATATACAGCGTACAGTAGAATTATATATATAAATATGAATTGGTGTTCGTTTGTCTCGCTAAAACTCGAGAATGGCTGAACAGATTTGGCTAATTAAAAAATCGTAATTTTCTTTATAAAATTTTCACAGGGCAGCAGAAATTATAACATCACAAGCGGTGTCATCGAAATCTGTGACGTACATTACATCTCTACAGTTAAGGGATCGTGTGGAAAGGGCTAGGAGGGCATTATCACTGTTCCAGCATCACGATGGTGTCACTGGTACGGCGAGGGATGATGTGGTACTTGATTATGCGAGCAAGTAAGTATCATCTCTAAAAGCGAACTGGGGTTTGGGGTAAATCGTTTTTTAAAGAAATCATCAGGATTGACCAGGACGCTTCTATTTTAATATAAATATGGGTGTGAGGCCAGGGGCATGGGTCATGCTGTTACTTCCGTTTAATAGAGTTCATTAATTTCTGGTAAACTATGTCATAACTAATCAATCCAGGGAAACAATCCAAGTTTCATCAAAATCGTATTTTTGGAGGGAACATAATATACTAATAATAATATGGTATAAAAATATGATGGTGGGACAATCTAAACTTCGTATACTCTGATATAATGGCGTGCAAATTTGTCTTACATAAGTAAAAGGTAGTGTGTTGGCCTAGTGGAAGTCGTATTTCAATGGACTTTATTTCTATGTGCGCATTTAACATTTGCTCGAACGGTGAAAGATAACATCGTGAGGAAACCGACATGTCTTAGACCCACAAAGTCGACGGCATGTGTCAGGCACATGAGGCTGATCACCTACTTTCCTATTAGATTGACAAATGAGCATGAAACAGATACAGAAATCTGAGACCCAGACCTTATTGTTATAGCGCCACTGATTTAATTATTTTGAGAAGATTTTATTTTAAATATATTATTACATAAGTATAATTATTATTTAAATAAATGTATTATTATTTATAGTGAGTATAAAAAGGTTGGTTAATTTAATTAGGTTAATTTTAAATTAATGTTGTTAATATTCAAGTTATACCCGTAATAATAATTATTTTGTCAGGATTCAAAGCCAGACATCCGTTACTAGAATGTTGGAATGCTTGAATGTTTTACGGTTTTCATACATTTGTTACGAATTTTAATTCTGTGTGTTCCGTTTTGCAAATACTGTTTTAAATTCTTGTGTCAAAATTGGTTTTTTGACATACAAGTCACGCTTACCATTGTGACTCCGTTAATTTTCAGAATGCTTCAAGCGATAAAAGACAGTCAATCTGTCATACAACAAGCGGCTTTCTACCTCTTAAAACAACCAGCCATTATCGACCAAAATCAAGAGGATATTTACTTCGAAGTTGACGACATCTGGCGAAAGAATAACGAAATTCCAGCGAGAATCACGATTGCGCTGGACGAAGTGTCGCCATCTAGGCGTCTAGTGCTGTATAACGCTTTGGCATTTAGACGACAGGAAATAATAACTGTGTTTGTTTCTTCGCCACATGTTGAGGTTGGTTCAAAGAATGATTTGGGATTCATACTTTTTATTTTTAAGTATAGTTTAGAATTTTTAAGGTACGTTGCAAGGGAGCGTTCAAGTATTACTTAACGAATTTTAGGGGGGTCCTTTTGTAAAATCTTACGATGCGGGGCGGGGATTGAATTACGCGTTATTGTTAATATTATTTTCGACTTTCCAGTACTTTACACCACATAATGGTAACTTTTAGGTATAAAGAGTCACTAGATGGTCACGAAACGTTTTACTATACTTGGGTACAGAAAAACGTTACGGTGCGTTACATGGGGGGGGGGTCAATTAGCTCAAAGTATTACTCTCGCGTGAAAATCCTTCCATTAATCTTATCCTAAGGAGCAGGAGCAGTGTTGGCCTCGTGGCTTCAGCGTGCTACTCATACCTGAGGTCGTAGATTTGATACCCGGCTTTGCACCAATGGACTTTCTTTCTATGTGCGCATTTAACATTTGCTCGAACGGTGGAGGAAAACATCCTGAGGAAACCGACATCACTTAGACCCAAAAAGTCGACGGCGTGTGTCAGGCACTGGAGGCTGACTGTAGGTGACTACTTGCCTATTAGATTTAAAAATGATCATGAAACAGATTTAGAAATCAGAGGCCAAGACCTCAAGAGGTTGTAGCGCTATTGATTTATTGTTTAATCTTATCGTAAGCGATTGGTTCTAATGGTTTCTATGGTTAACGCTCACTTATAGTCACGAAACCGCCATGTTTTGCCTAAAAATGGTGTCAGGTATTAATCACCTACTTGTCAACAAAACAAATGAAAAACACGGAAACGTCCGTAGGGTGTGTGATATTTAGTAATATTGTAATTATTTCCAGTTTAGGATTTAATCGAAAACAATATATATTGATTTACACAAGTCTTTGCGTGTTGATTTACTTTTTAAACCAGCAAAATGAAAATTGTTTACATAATTTCAACTACGTTAATAACTTTGTCAAAATAAATACATTTTAAAGTGATCTGTGACATTGAACACAGATCGTAGAAAATTAATCGATATATCGTTTGCATTTAATATAATTAAGAATCAAGTTGATTGCCCCAACCTTATAAAAAAATTTCTTTATTAAAAATCATCCCAACCTTCAGAAGAACGCGTTTTGGTCAAAACTGACCTTTATCCAGATTGAGCATTCTGATAAACGAGCTACGGATATACGTAGTTGGTCCCAAAGTTCTGTCACTAGCACATTATTTCTACATTTCGAGCAGGATTTTATAAAAAAATTATTGCATTCTATTTTGGAATGTTTGATTATTGTTTTAAAACAAAAAACAATAACTTTCCGTAATTTTTCACGATGGAGTGGACATTGAAAGTAAACCGAATAGTTGTTATTGCGTTGCACCGCTGTGGACACTCGCCGAGTACCATTTTCAAGTTGCAGATGGGTGTCAGTAGGAAAACAGTAAAAAAGGTTTTAAATGAAGATCTTGGTCTACGAGCATACAAAAAAGAGTGGGCACTTACTTAATGCTCGTCTAAAAGCAATAAGGCTTAAGAGATCGCGGGTGTTGTTTAAGCGGTACGCGAGAAACCGACACCGTGATATCCTCTTTACGGACGAAAATTTTTTCGATATTGAAGAGAAGTACAATAAACAGAATTATACAGTGTACGCTAGGAGTTCTGAAGAAGCTGAAAATAAAGTTCCAAGGGTGCAACATGGACATCATCCATCATCAGTAATGGTTTGGTTGGGAGTGTCCTATTACGGGCTAACTGAGGTTAATTTTTTCGAAAAGGGGGTCAAAACCAGTGCTACAGTGTACCAAGAGACGGTTTTGTATCGCCTTGTCAAAGACATGTCCAGCACCCTATTTGCGGGACATCACTTCGTGTTCCAGCAGGACTCTGCGTCTGCATACAAAGCCAAGACCACTAAAGCCTGGTTTGAGCGTCAAAACATCGTCTTAATTAGACATGAGGATTGGCCTTCCTCCAGTCCGGACCTTAATCCTTTGGACCAGAAATTATGACAGGGCTTAGAGAGGAAGGTCTGTGATAAACCTCATGAAAATTTGGAGAATCTGAAGTCATCTTTAAAAAAACCAGTGACTGAAATCGACACGAATATGGTGCGTGCTGCGATAGACGACTGGCCGCGACGCTTAAGGGCCTGTATTAAAAATGAAGGAGGTTATTTCGAATATTTTTATGCTTTTTTTATTCCTTAATTAATGTACTAAGAATTGATATATCACTCATTACAAACTGATCAGTACTTTTGTTTTTATCATTATTTCCATTTATGACAGAACTTTGGGACCGACTACGTACAACCATAGTTGCTCCGTACACTTTGAAATCAATTTTCCTTTAGTTTTTTTTTTTGTAGTTTTGTAATTTATTAATTTTTATCTCTACGTGTATGTTGTTGGCCTATATGTGCTTATTACATTAAATATTGTATTTCATTCCTCCTTGTAGCATTGTATCAGTGTGCCGTTGGCAAGCCTTTATAAATAAATGTAGATAATTTCTCAATAATTTTCAGGTATTTGACCCCGAAGGTAGTCCGATAATGGCCCAGATATCGCCCGTTGTGTCGGGTGAAAAGCGGCTAGGTTTCGCCGCGAACAAGTTTCTTCTTTCCTTCCCTGTGACGATTGATGCGCTCGCACTTACAGCGTACAGCGTGTCGCTACGGGACAGTATGACTATTAACAAGTTGGTATTTTCCTACTCTTTTAGACATAAATTGTTTTTGAAGTGAAATTTCTTTAGGCGCATGAGGGTAACATTTTTACGGATGAAACGCAATAATAATAATATTAGCGTCACGAAGATGTGCAGCGTTTTTGTCGAAGAAAAGGGGAGAGAGATTTTGACGACTCATTGATCTAGTGGTTAGTACCCCTGACTGCGAATCCATGGGTCCCGGGTTCGATCCCCGGCTGAGACGAACATCGATGTGATGAGTTAGCTCGAACGATGAATGAAACGTGAGCAAACCGGCTTGCCTTAGATCCAAAAAGTTAACGGCGTGTGTCAGGCACTATAGGCTGATCAACTACTTGCTTATTAGTTTGATCATGAAACAGATACAGAAATCTGAGGCCCAGACCTAAAAATGTTGTAGCGCCAGTTTTTTTTAATCATCAAACGAATATTCAGGTATACGTCATACGCCCGTGTACGCATTTACAACGCGGACTACTGGAACATTGATGAACTTCCGAAGATGTTCGCCATTGAGCAGCCCTCAGCCCGATTATCCGATGACGTCACCATACAAGCGGGCAATAGTACGCGAGTGCTCGCGAACAAGCATGGCCTTATTAAAGCCATCATATCCACCGACGGAAAGACCACGCCGGTGCACATGGATTACGTTCAGTAAGTTTTTTCGGGACAAACGGGTCACTAATAAAGTGTACCGCCGCCCATAGACACCTGCATCGCCAAGGTGCTATGCTTATGGGTGTGTAGTCGGTCTTTAAGGGAATAGTACGCCCCTTTGGAAATACATCTATTGTCAGATGGTTTCACAAAGAAGTTCAAGGCACAAAGTACTTTAAATAGTTTTTTTTTAATGAAAATCTGGCCTTGAGGTGATAAAGATGGAATTTGACATTCTGCGTCCGATGATAAAATTTAGCTGAATTTGCTGCTGTAAATTTATTAGTTAACCGCGGTTTGAATGATTTCCAAAATTTCCGATGTCTCTTTTTCGCTGACGCTAAAGACATTTTCTTTTGCGAAGTGTGGAATCGACTCCCGATGAGGGGCTTCCCTGGGAAATACGACCTCCATTTTTAAAAAAAAAGAACATACTCCTCCCTCACAGGCCGGCAACGCACCCACTAAAATGTTTGACCACAGACGCGATGACTGCCCTTTTGTGTAATAATCTTTTATGTGCAAACCCTTACCTGTACTGCTAGTGAATTAGTGATTTTTTGGTTTGTCACAAAAATGGTTCTAAATTGAGAGAGACAAAATAACAAAAGAACTATTTAATAACTTCAAAGATGGAATTTTTAAATACGGAAATCTAACTTAGTATTAATTTTTAGATATGGCACCCAAAAAATGACAGATAACAATAGTGGAGCGTATCTTTTCATCCCGGACGGTCCCGCCCAACAGTTCAACTTGGACGCGTATCCCGAACTGGTCATAACCGAAGGACCATTTAAGGCAACACTTTACACCGCACTTATTGGTCCGAAGGCTGCTGACGTCATTTTAGCTGTAAGCAAATTCAAGTTATTGACAGGTTGCCATGTGTCAAAAATCTTGCTAACGTAATTTTACTTTACTTTCTGACTTTTAGTTAGGTAGACGCATTTTCGATGTTTTATAAGCTAAATGCTTTAAACGTGGCGCTAAAACCCTTGATCTTGGTTTTAGATTTATGAGTTACCACTTTTTCTTAATAGGCAAGAAGATGATCAGCCACTAAGCAATCCGGGTAGAGACAATTTTGACTAATTCAATAAATTTCATCAAAAAATCTGTAAATTAAAAACTGTAACGTGAAGACTCGCGTTGCCCTAAACAATATCACACTACGACCAAGACGCGTACACGCAACGCACACATAGCAGCTCGCTGCATCTTTTTAATGCAAAGTCACAACAAGCTCGTGGCACTCCCTACCATAGCCCAATCGATGATGTTGGCGTCCACACGCCACTTCGATAAGGCTAAACATCATCCCAACCCGTTGGTGCGTAAAAGCATCAATTACTACCCCTTCCCGACAAAATAGGTCGATCCAATCACGATAGCCAATGACAAATCAAAAGCCGCCCGCGCGGCCAATAATAATAATAGCCAAAATCAAATTAGTGTAAAAAAACCTCCTTCAACGGGGAAGGTGAGGACCTTCACTGCGTACTTCGCTTACTCCAGTGAGCTTCCGTCCTGCCCTTCAGGCGATTGACCACCCCGCGACGGCCTAAGCCGGGGTTCGAGTCTCACAGGAGACTAGTCGCGGGATAAACGCCCATTCAGGTCGAGCTACGCTCGCCAAAACAGAGAGATTCCATTCCAAAAACAAAAGCTTGTGGTATACGATAGCCCTCCGGGTCGTCTGCTCGTGGCTCATCAGTAGCTTTTCTTGACCGATGCCCCGTGTCTTCCCTACGGTTCAATGTTAGGTTACCTAATATTGTATGTACTTACTGTTATGTAATCAATATTGTGGCTAGAATACAGTATTTTTTTAAGGACAATTGACTTTAATTCTCAACCCGCCCTTACAAAATTAAATCCAATATATAAAATTCTTGTGTCACAATGTTCGTTCCCATACTCCTCCGAAACGGCTCGACCGATTCTTATGAAATTTTTTACGCATATTCAGTAAGTCTGAGAATCGGCTACTATCTATCTTTCAAACCCCTTAATTTTAAGTGTGGTCCACCCCAAAATTTTTATTTTTCTGATAATTTTTTTTTTTATGATACTGAATACAAAAATACATACAACCCTTAATGTTCACCTCCCCCCTACGATCAACCCCTATTTTTTATTATAGAAGATAGTTATTTTTATTGAACTAAAAAAATGTTTCCTAGAAATAATATACATGGCAAAACAAACGTTTGCCATTTATATTTTTGTTTAACCGGGAGAGCCATTTTCTACTTTTGGGCAAATCATCTACTATCAATCATTTACCTAACGCCCTCCCTACCTTATGCATACTGTGTCTTTTTTCCTTCTGCAGCTATAATATGAGTTAATAAAATAGGTTTATGATATTATATAATAAAATTAGGTGACTTTAAGAATCGAATAAAACCTAACTTAGAAAAATACTTTGTAAGCTAAAGAAAACTTCTGTTGCTGTACTGACTCCGGTTCACTCCACAGGTGTCTGTATACAACAACCCCTCACTGAAGCAAAGTGAGGTGGAAGTGACCAACACATTACTCATAGACCCACATGTGGATGACTTGGAATTGGCCATGCGGTTCTCTACAAGTATCAAAAATGGAGATGTCTTCTATACTGATCTTAATGGGATGCAGGTAAAATATATTGTGTAGTAAATAAATTTATCAATTAAAATCACATTCACACTTTGCTATGTGTATTTTGTTTGCAATGTGTGTCAGACATTGACAGAACAACTGGGAAAATAATAATTAAAAATAGAGTAAAAAGTATAAATGAAATTAGATGATGTTAATATAAAACAATTAAAAGACGCGTACACCTCATAACTGAAGTGGAGATGGACGGGTCATATGATGTGAGAAAAGAATAAATAGAACAGAATAGTATCGGACTGGTACTTATAGACTACAAGCCCATGGAAAAAGAAAACCTGTGACATGAACCAACATGAATAATGCTTTGAAGGCTGTTACTATATCTGAAAATAACTCTGAGCACTATGCCGTCATTTCTGAGCGGTACATGTGAGTACGTGAGTGAATGGAATTTCTCAGGTCTATTACGAATTGGGAAACGAAAGAGAGGCAGATATGAAGAAAACATTATGATATAAAAAAGGTAGCGGGACTAATGTAACCAAGAAAAAGAGAAGGACAGAGCAATAGGTAGACGATATAAAAGAATAGGAGGCATAAATCGGACAAGAAGAACGAACATTAGAAAAAATTTAAAGTAGCTAGAGGCCTATGTGTCACAGGACACGCTGATCACCAAAGCTAACGTTTATGTTCTATGGTTAATAATTAAGAATAAACTTTGATATTGCTGTTAAATCAAAATAATTTGGAGTCTTTTTTAGATAATAAAACGGCGGTACTTCGAAAAATTACCGCTTCAAGCAAATTTCTACCCACTTGGATCGAGCGCGTTTATTGAAGACGAAAGCTCTCGTCTTACCATTTTAGCGTCTACGCCCCTTGGTGTAGCGGCTTTGCAGTCCGGACAGATTGAAGTAAGAATATTTATTTATTTATTTTCTATTCTTGCAGTAATTTAATACTAATACAATAGAAATTTATTAATACAAAACTAAGAAAATAATATTATATAATCAAAACAAGAAAACATAAAACCTTTTTATAAGAAATTACGAAAAATTGTATTTTGTGCGCGGCGTAAATGCTGCCTAAGCTTGTACGTGCTCGCGGCATTGCTAGCAATTGCGACCGCTTACCACGCCGAATGATTAATTGATCTCTTCAACATTTCTGCATTATATATGAGGACCTTTAAACATATAGTTTGATGTTATGCTCACCTCTAACTTGTTGTATCCCACAACATTTTCCCGCCATTTTTTTTTAAGTTCTCATAACCTTTTTTTTTACTGGTAATTTCGCGAACAAGTTTGTATATAGTACATACATGCACAATTAGCGATCGCTTTAAGAGAAATAAAATTCTAAACTTAGTAATTATTGTTATTATAATATTATGTCGAGTGTTGGCCTCAGCGTGCGACTCTCATACCTAAGGTCGTAGGTTCGATCCCCGACTTTGAACCAATGGACTTTCTTTCTATGTGCGGTGCGCATTTAGAATTCGCTCGAACGGTGAAGGAAAACATCGTGAGGAAACCGGCTTGCCTTAGACCCAAAAAGTCGACGGCGTGTGTCACGCACAGAAGGCTGAATACTTGCCTATTAGATTGGCTAATGATCGTGAAACTATCTATCTATTTAAAACCTTCCATAGATAATGCAAGACAGACGTCTCTCCCGCGATGACAACCGCGGAATGAACCAAGGTGTATTGGACAACGTACGGACGAGACATACATTCAAACTTATTGTTGAACATGCGCATACGCCGTGCTCGGTGAGTACATTTTTATACTTACAATAATTCAGAGTTCAAAATGACATTTCTAGTTTATTACCGACCATTTAATATTTTATTCTACATATTTTGACTAAACTATAAATGAAATAATAATCTTTGAAAAAAAGGTAGTCTGCTAATTTTTCCAACACAAGCCTATTTCTGAAAAGCCAGACTTACCCGTCTTCGGATGCTATATGTTGCTAACTCACCGGGATGCTATGGCAACGTCGCTGGCTACGTATCCAAACAATTTGTAAATGTATGGCTGTTAACTCATTTGGCGAAGGTTCCAGAATCAGGCATCCCGGTGAGTTACAGAAACCGGCAAACATCTTGAACATTAAACAAGGAAGTGGGGGAAAGTTTGCGCATCGCGGGACAAAAACTTCAACTGATTTCCCAATCACGCGATCGACACGTCACTCTCCCGCCGCTCACCACCCTCCCAGTGATACCTAAATTTCGCTTCTGCGCAGGCAAGGACATTTGTTCAAGATGTTTGCCGGTATCTGTAGCAGCCTTAAGGGTCTTTATTAGCTAACTTGTAAAAATTATGAAATTGAAAAGCAACACAAACTTTTAAAGTTGGTTACTTGACCATTGATCATCATTTGATCAAAATTTAAATTGACTGCCAGTTCCCATAACATAGAACGAATGAGAACTGTCAAAACGCCATAACCCCAAGTATATGTAAGGAGCTGCAATAACCAGGCTTGATCTCTCTTCCAGCATAAACCGTTCGACCACCCAAGCGGGTACCTCACACTTGGAGCTCATGTCTCCCAACAGTGTTTACTTCAGCCCCTTATAACAATGCACTACACGGCCAACGAGAACTCGCCCAGGCCGAGCTATTCGCGATCCATCACAAATGCCGCCGACGTTATACTCGCCTCCTACCGGTCGCATGTTGCTGTTAAGGTAATAAAAGAATTTCCACATATCTTGGTCTCAAGCGTATGCTTGATACCAACCCACACAAATACACCCATACAAGTCTATTTCTGTAGGAGATTCCTACAGAAATAGACTTGTATGTTGACTGTTGATTAGTTTTTTTATATCCTGTGTAAAGTCTTTATAACGAATTTTAAGGGACTTAGCATTTTGTTTTGTTATATACGGTTTCGTTATACGAAGGGAAGAGAAAAATAACCAAATTTAACCAATTACAATAATTTAAATATATGTAATAGAGAGGTGAAGAAGGTGCGTTTAGTAACTGAGACCAAAAGTTCCTACAGGCAATGTAATCTAAGAATAATGGCACACGTCTAATGCAATTAACAATAAACAGGCGAGACGGCAGTTTAGTTCTTTCGTCTCTTTCTTTCAAAGATGGCTACGCTGTAATGAAAAGAGACAATTGAGTACTTGGTTGATTGTGTTTGTTATTTAGAAATGTTAGATTGTGTTAAGCGATACAGACACAATATGCCATATAAATTGCTGATTCCCGTTATATACCTTTCAGAATAAGGACGGATCCGTCTACCACGGTATGGGTTTGACGGTACAACGCGTTCATTTGGACACTTGCTTTGGTAACGCGGCCATTTCCAAGTTTTACCCTAGTGGCGATGGACAAGTAAGTTTAAACATAACACTTATAACTAACGAAACACACAAGATAAAAATAATAATAATTAAAAAGAAAAAGAATGTAATAGTAATAGTAGAAAAAAAATAACAGTAAAGAAGTGTTGGAAGATTGTGTGTAAAAGTATATAGTGAATAAAATAAATAAACAATTTTTTTTTTCTTAGGTACAACTCACAGATATGGTAGACGTCCAACCGGATCGAGTATTTGACAGTTCACTCACATTCCTCCACATTCGTTCACCCGTTCCCGACGCTTCACTCGTTCTCTGCCCCATGGAGGTGCGATCCGTATTCATCAATTATACTCTGAAGCACGGCTGAACGAGTGAACGATTGACCTGTGAGTATTGAATTGTCACGTGACTAAAACGTGTTGAATTATTTGTGTTTGTGATATATCTATCAAGCTGCTTTCAAGCTTTGTCATTGATTTTTGTGTTGTATAAATTGTATAAGGAATATAAACTAATCAAAAAAGCGCGTTTTATATTTGTATTTCAACTGATACATTATAAAATACGTAGTAACGTCAATATTACTCGACGCCGGAAAATGTTCCATCAGCGTCTTTATGTTTTGAAATTTTTGTTGACACTTTGAAAATAAATACACTACTTAAAGCTAAGTAATTAAACATAATAACTGATATCTTGAGTAATAAAAATATCTTAGTGGTTAAGCGCCGTAATATTAAATCCAGTTTCTGGTGCAATTTTAAATGTTTATTCTTGCATTTTATAGAAGGCAGTTTCCGTTTCGTATTAACTATTCTTTTTTGAGTATTTCATGGTATTGTATAGGATTTCATCAAATTTGTCTTTTTTTGTATATATTGTGACTATCTTTTTGTATATATTTACTATGTATAATAGGTATATAGTTTAAATAACTATGTTTAACGAAATATTACACGGCGTGTATACGTGAATTTAGAAATAAGCTTCTTAAGGTCTCGAAGGATTGACGTTCCTCTATATGAATACTTTGGGTTTTTGAATATTGTTGCGAAATGGTAGTATTTCTCCTGTCACAGAACCCATTTGGTTTATAATCATTGTCTGTGGAGGAAGGATGGTGTCCAGTTCCTCCAACATATAGACAGTCTACCAGTCGAACAACTGGTTGGCCCAAAGTACCCAGTGTCTAAGGCCGATATATTGTATCCTTCTTCTTCAGTCGGAGCGTCATGGTCAGCAAGGAAACATCTGGAGCGCACAATCTGTTTCCACCAGTTTCTGTCCAGCGCCTCTCGTATAACAGTGTATAGTTTTGAGGACGATGAGTCTTTCACTTGATCGGTCCATCTGGTTCGTAAACGGTTACGTGATCTTTTGCTTTCTGTGTTACACTTTCTCCAAGAAAAATGCCTCTGCGCGTTGTATGGCCGAAATATGATAGAATTCACTGTCGACTGCATACAGGCCAGTCCGTATGCGGAGTTGGGTCAGGAACGATGTATTGGCGCGCTTTGCAGGCCATGATATTCTTTATTCGCCAGCAGAACCTAAAGTATTTTGTCTTTAGCGGTCGTAATAATTTTGTGCGCGTTCAGGGTATGATCCATCACTGGCGATTTTCTCAGAATATTACAAATCAAATTTTGTTCGGCAGCAAAACTAGCAACTTAAAAGACAGGTAGCATTTATTAGGATACAATTTTGTATTATATGTTTATTTATAAATTATGTTGTACTCATAAAGTTTTTAATCAAGCATTAAACGCAATTATTATTTTTAAATCATATTGTTCACTCGCACACGACAAGCAAGGTTTGACTACCTTTTTTAATATATTTTTATTATTATTGTGTAAATTATATAGGTGTTGCAGAGTAGTAGGTTTCACACGACGACGATGGTAGGGTTTTGATTGATGATATCATAATTGTATTCGTAATCATAACAATCAAATATAGAGTATTTACAATTTTCTTAAATCTAGAAATAAAAAATAATCACGAATAAAAAGAAAATTAAATCAGAGTTTGGTCCCTGTGGCAGTGTACCTTTTAATGCTGGCAAAATTTCCTCGCTGTATTGCGATACTTCTTCGTTGAGCGAGGAAAGTACCAGTTCTGGGGTCACCGGTACTAACTACCAGGCGCCAACTTAAATCTTTAAATTAGCACTTGTGCACTTGAACCCCACGGACCAAGAGTCGCTACTCCCAAGGGAATATATTCTAATTGGTTACACAATTTGACTTTTGTCTAACTTGATTTATCGTATGCCAACTTATACTTTTGCGCCATCATTGTCTACAGGCGTTAGAATTGTATGAAATTAAAATGTATTTTCGTCCAATTAGTTTAATGTGCACTGTTAACGTAGCAAGGAAATTTGGATAATAACTTTAAAATTATTCAGATAAAATATTATCATTACATCTTATAATTACGCGGGAAAACATAATTTCGATTTGCGATAGAGATTTAGCAGTAGCTATAACATTCAACTGGAAATCCAATATTTTCTTGCTGGCTGTTAAATTTTATTATTTTTGTGTATATATGATTTGTATTTTTTTTTGTAAATAAAAAATCTTTTAATATTCGTTTTATTTATTGAGAGGACAAGTAATACACGTCTTATACAAAGAATACATTTGAACTATCACAGGTTATTAAATTATATTAAAAAATAACAGTATTTGGCTCTATTGTGGCACAATCTATAACAATTGGAAAAAATTCTAAGTTAAAATCATATTTAATCGTAGATTCAAAACTTTTATGAAATTTTTCTTAATGCCTTTGTACCTTTCATAAAATTATAATAACAATTCATAATATTTCACGCGCGTGTCAACAATTTTGACAGATTAATGACAAACAGGTGATGCATATGTCATTATTCATTATTAAGCTCGTCATTTTAAGCTCTAATTAATAACAATTTAAAAAAGTTTAAAGTGACAACGTCATAACAAAACATTGATGAAATGATTTCATACATTTATGAATAAAATTGAATAACTTTTATTGAATTATGACTATTTTGTATCGATACAAAGGATTGAATCCTCGGACGCATAGGCCAATCGAGTGGAAGAGATATTTGCGGCGCAAGCGTACAATGAGCGTAACGGGACAATGAGTCATGCTTTTTCGTGCGTTCAGCCGGCGTTTATCGATTTATTAGACGTTGTCACGTCAAAAATGAAAAAATCCGAACCTTTCAAAATAATCCATAAAAATAACGAAATATCTACTATTATGATAAATTAAATTACCACACCAGTACTTTAACAGCTATTAAACTTTGAAAGAAAATTTAATGTGTTGAAGTTTATTTTAAGCACTTTATCATACATTTTAATTTGACATGATCAAGTTATCGGAGATATATTATGATGATAATTAAACTATATTTCTATAGTAAACACTAGCAAAATTCATGGCAACAAATTGTATTAAGGTCTTAAAACTATTTAATGACCACTACCAGATTAACATTTTGAATTCTCTTTAATACCGTTTTGTTGTCTTATTCGCGTAAATTATTTATACCTTTATATTTAGGTATTTTCAAAATTTAAATACTGCACTTTTGAAGGAAAAGTGATTTTTAATGCAAAATAAGTATAATGTTAGAGTACATCATAGTTATCTAAGAAACTCGCTATAAACTACAATACAATACTGATTGTTAATTAACATGTTAATCAGAATATATCGTAAAAAAATTGAGAACCGGTAGTGGTACTCTGTTAAACCGGTACTAATTTCCACTAAATTCACTCAGAAACTGGCTTTTATCGAATATCGAAATTTATAACTAAGACGTCATCGAACGAAATCGATTTAATTTTTTCAATATCCGGAATTACGTGTAACATAAACTCAATACTGAAATAGAAATCACAATTTTTTAGTGATAACTAATAATACCTAAAAATCGGACAGTTATTAAAAATATGTCCCAAATACCAACAAGCAGTCAAAAACCCTACCACAGATCTTAATTGACACACTGACTTGATAAATCTGTTGTTCATATTGTCAATGGCTATTTTATAAACGCGCTCGTTGCGTTTGATGTACAATAACTGGGTTGCTATAAAAATCTACAGTTAACTTTGGCAAAATAGAACTAACAAGGCTTTGGCAGTTTTCAATAACTTCTGGTACGGCTTCGTACACAATTTCTTGTTGCCTGAAAAAAAATCAAAATTATTCACTTATGTGGTGTTGAATTTACTAAAATGTTTAATTTTTTTTCTTATATTTACTTTTCATCTGGGCTGACAATATAAACTTCATGATTACCTAACCTACTTTTTACCTAGAATTAATAATGCGCCATTGCATTATTGATTTCTGTTTGGTAAATTTCAAACACTGATAAAGAATATAAATAAACCACAGCTATAGTATATATGCTGTATAAAGAATTTTAAAGTTGTTCTCTTATCTGACATTGACATACTAGTTGACAGAAATACTAGCTGTCACTTGTTTTAATTCGCTTTAACCCGCGATAATTCGGTCGCAGGCAATATTTCCCTCAAAAAAACTTCCAGTACTTTTTTAGAACTCAAAGAGTTCCAGACAAACTGAGAGAATCCCTCAAATTTGTTAAATGGTTTAGTAGTTTTAATGTTTATTTTAAAATTTAATTCGTCCACAAGATATTAGTGTAGGTGAATATAAAACTGTGAGTAGTGTAGTTTCAATCCTCGGCTGTGAACCACCGGAATCTATGTGCGCAATTAACATTCGCTCAAACGGTGAAGGATAACATCGTGCGGAAACCGGCTTATCTTAGACAACGGAGGCTGATTACCAACTTGCCTATTAGATAGGCATTGCCTACTAGATGTGAAATGGCGCAAAATCGAAAGAAGTTTTAAAAATAATATACTTGTTCCAAATTCAAAATAATTAAAATGTTGAAAAAAAGAAAAGTTTTTGGCTAGACAAGTTATTGCTTTCAGATTTGGTTATTAAGAAATCCCATTATTATATGTCTTAAAACTTACATTTTATGCCTGAGCAAGACGCCGCTGTATACAAGTCCCTGTAAACAGTTACCGGCTGCTTCTAGACTTAAACAGTATGGATGACTTCTCTTCTGTTCTAGCCTTTCCTGTATCTTCTTTAGTGCACGCTTGTGTTCACATTTTTTACACTGAAATTGTAAAATATAATAGCATTATCTTCCAATTATTAACCGACTTTAAAAAAGCTTATTTTTTGTGGAATGTAATCTATTTAGGCGATTTTTACATTTTATATATTTTCTAGCTTTGTTCAGAAATTTCTAGAAAACTATATATTGATATCAATTTTAAACAAATCAGCTTTATTTATAAAACAACGCCCTCGCGTACACTCTGGCATTCAGTGTCACTGGTACTATCTACCAGGCGCCTTTTATGAGCGCCTGTGCACTTAACCCCGCGGTCCAAAGTCTCTACTCCAAAGGAAACAAAATCGAAATTGGAGGAAAGACTTATATTTTAGCCGTTTATTATTTTCCGCCCGCTCAGCGGCCGCAGGTTAGTTAGTTATAACTTTAATATTAGACTTTATGGTATTATTATATTATAACCTAATATATTCAATCAAAAGTTCAATAGTTTTTTTACAAGTCAAAGCATTTCTGGACTCCTTATTGCGTGGATTACGGACGATTTTTAAGTATATGCGTTGTTTGTAACACGTATTGTTTTCATATTGTCAAGGAGTATTGCCTTGTGGGACGAATTAGTAATAAGACATTCAAGTAAAAATCTATTTTAATTTTGCCAATTTATCTCATAAAAAAATACATCAGTGGCGCTACAACCTTTTTAGGTTGTGCTCAGATTTCTGTATCTGTTAAATGATTTGACGACTCATTGGTCTAGTGGTTAGTACCCCTGACTGCGAATCCATGGGTCCCGGGTTCGATCCCCGGCTGAGACGAACATCGATGTGATGAGCATTTGGTGTTGTGCTTAGGTCTTGGGTGTTTAAATATGTATTTATATGTCTATCTATCTATAATATGTATGTATATCCGTTGCCTAGTACCCATAACACAAGCTTCACCAGCTTAGCATGGGACTCGGTCAATTGGTGTGAATTGTCTTTAAAAAAAAAAAAAAAAATGATCATTTGCTAATCTAATCGGCAAGTAGGTGATCAGCCTTCTGAGCCTGACACACGCCGTCGATATTTTGGGTTTAAGGCAAGGTTTCCTCACGATGTTTTCCTTCGCCGTTCGAGCGAGTGTTAAATGCGCACATAGAAAGACAGTTCATTGGTGCACAGCCGGGGATCGAACCTACGACCTCACGGATGGGAGTCGCACGGTGAAGTCAATAGGCCAACACTGCTCTATTTATCTCTTAAAGTAGATTTAAAATATTAAATTAATAACCCCAGAAATATAGTTTTGTTACTGACACATTATTTTACATAAAAACACTCTCAGGAACTCTATCAGGCAACTCTGATGAAAAACAGTAATAAAATTGTGAAGAAATGCAGAAACCCAGTTCAATGGCCTATTTAGACACAGTTATCTATTCACTGATAACGACGTAATCATGCAGAAATACTTGGGGAATATGAATAATTGATTATATAGAATTGAATTTATCGTTAGACGCCATTGATATACAAAAAACCCAAGATGCACAGTCTCGAATAAAAGTAACGCTCGAAAGTGTCCCGAAACACTATTTCTGTCCATAACAGTATATGTTACAAGCATATATTATTGCAAAATCAACCTTACGCGAATTGCTTAAAGTTGTTATTACAACGCAGTGTATACGTACTTAAAGCAAAAAAAATTTACGACCGACCGTGGTCGGTAGGACAAGGTATTGAGTGGAGTCGAACATGACTTTTTTATTTACAACTATTTAACATAATTTTAAATTTATCCGACTTTTCGGGTGCTTTACAGCGTGAGTGGTCACGGTGACTGAAGACAAAAGGTGTTGGATGTTAAATAGTTGTCAATTTATAATAATACATAACATTAATCCGGTTAAAAAGTTTTTTCTTTAAATTAAAAAAAAATGTTAAATTGGCTACCTCCTGACCCACACTTTATATAGCGTAAATATATTTGTCAAAAACTACACACAAAAAAGTTCAAGAGTACATAAATTTATTTATAAAAAAAACACAAATAAATAACATCGACTCCACTTGTAGACGCGAGACTATTTGAAATGAGCGCACAATTTAGAATGTTGCGCTCATTTTTTGAGGACGTTTTTTAGACGTTGATTGTGCATCTTGGGTTTTTGTATATCAATGTTAGACGCCTTATCATATATGTACTATAACCCTCTATTATTTAAAGAATGTTTAGTCACATGTTGACAAACATAGAGATAGGTCGTTTCGTAGTACGAAGAAGAGTTTTGTTTGAGAGAAGAGTTTTAAAAGAGTACCGAGAGTTTTTTACGCCGGCTTTTTTCTCTCGGCCTACACCCTCTGTTTTCTTTGCCGATGAGTAGGGATGCCTACAAATTCAAATTTAATGACGTGGAATAAGTGATACACGTATCTTATGTTCCATAATAAACATGTTTTTTTTAGAAGGAAGCGGTAGGATTACATACACTTGTAATTATAGTAAAATGCACCTAAACACCGGTATAAAGTCGCTATTTCAAGGCAAAATTACCTAAAATATAGTGGCCTAATAAAAGGCCGGCAATGCACTCGCGAGCCCTCTGGCATTAAGAGTGTCCATGGGCCACTGGCCATATCACTGGTCATCTGGTTCCACATAGTGGTAATGTGCGGCAGAAACTGCCTTGAAAAAGGGTCAGTTGTGAAATGAACTCACACTTAACCCGTCGTCGTCTTTTTCTGATATATTTTGTTTACGCTGTGATGAAAGGAGAAAGAGTACTTTCGAAAAAATGCTTCAATTAGACTTACTTATTTATTATAAGATGTAAACTCTAATTGTTCAAACAATAAAATGAAATCATAAAATAGATAATAATCCAAAGACTCACTTATTACGAAAAACTACTTATAAAGTTCCTTAGAACATGTATTTACCTCGTTCATAACGTCCATACAACAAAGGAGTGTTGTAAGCGTTGGCAATAAAGCCCATTGCAACATGTAGCGCAACTTGTCGTTCGATTGATCGCCCAACCCGTCGCACAACAAGTCGTTATTCACTAAAACCAATTTCGTTTGTATGCAGTACTCTAGCGCTTTGTCAAATATCTGTAACGTCAATAAAGAAAAATATATCTTTATGCTAATTATCGTTTTTGTATCAATAATTATGAATTTGTCACTAAATATGGCAACACTAAACCAGACAGTTATCTGTCAACATGATATGACAGTTCGCGCCAAAAAGCGCGCAAAACCTCATATCATGTAAATTCCTTATAAAAGTTAAAAACGTAATTAAAAAATCTCACCATCTGTTCATTCTCTTCTAAATGGAAAAATTCATGTCTCAGCAGTCTTCTGATTGAAATATAAATCGAATACAATTCATCTGAAATACATAATATTCGTATACGACATATTTACTAGAAGAAAATTCCTAAACATACTATAGGCCTCAAATAGACGAATGTTATTATAAATGGTATAATTTCGCTGGATTGTAGGTTCTAAGGCTGAAATTTAGAGATATTGTTGTAGGACGGTCGAAGTCTAAGCCGAGGCGCGGCCAAGGCAAATTGACATAATTAAGATTCTATATTATTATTCTCTATTAATTCTATTGTTTTTGGTATGATTACAGAGAAAACTTTTTTACTAATCTGTGATGACAAAAATGTAAAATGGTATTTTATGTTCCAAAATAACATCGGATCCTATTAAAATTATACCTATTAACTGTACATTAAATTTAAATTTCTAATTGATTAATTTAATACCACTGACCCTGCCAAAATGTTTAATTTAAATAAATTCACACACTACATACCTTTCCTTATACTATGTCTGCTAACAATAAGGTATACGAGTGCAGGTGGTACTATGTAATGTAATACTGGGTTTATATAGATCTGAAGCTGAATCACCGGCACTGCATTGACCATTGTCTCTGCTTTTAAGATGTGACCTATAACAATGCATTTTTAAATAATTGAAATGCGTTTTAATACTAGATTTTGTCGCGCACCACCACTATGTGGAACCAGCTGCCCACTAAAGTATTTCGGAATATTGGTGGTTTGCAGCAAAAACTGCCTTAAGAAACGCTCAGTTGTTGACTGATGGACGTCGAGGTGATACGGATGGTATTTGGCCTTGACGTCCAATTAAACTCATCTGCAAGTCCGAACAACTCCCCTGAACATCTCTATGATACATGCGGTAGAAGCTGCAGAATAAATAAAGGGCTAAGTCCAACTCCTTTACGAAATCTATTGGATTTTACAGAAGGCACAGTTCGTGGTTCATTTCCTGATAGATAGTGTAATTCCTAAGAAAGATTGAGGTTTATTCATCAAGATTTTATGAAAAGGTTATTGTTGATTAGGTTGAAATCAATATTAGCTAAATACACGAAATCTACAGCTGCGAATTAGTTATTTACGAACAAAAATACTATATGAAATTCCTTTTACCTTTCATCTTCTTCTGCACATCAGCCGTCACATTCATTAGGGCACTGGACACCAATCTCAATCTCTTCTCGCGATCCAACTTCACCATAGTTCTATGTACAATCAAAACTCTCTCCATGTTCCCTTTGACATCTCTTTCAAAAACTGAAGCGCCCAGGTTTTGTAGTACTTCTATCAACCAGGAGATTTGTGACTCCACCTCATTCTGTCCCAAAGCCCTGCCTTTGTACAGACTATCCATAAGAACTATACAGAGCAGATTCGTGATCGTGACCACCGCGTTCTCTTGCTGCAACGTGACCACGTGATCGGCGACTCTCTGAACAAGCCTCATCTGGTCATCTGTCAGTTTTTGAAGGTCACGTGGTTTGAGGGTCTCGGGTGATAGGGTGGAGTGCCCCAAGTAGCTTTTCAGAGACATTGGCGTACCCAAATTTATGTATATGTTACCAAAGTGGTCGTTGAGAGTGTGTAATGCTTTGATAAGACCCTGAAATTTGTTTGTATTAGTTTTTAATTAAAACAAAACGTGTGTGTTCTTATGCGTTAGAAGTTATACTGCGTAACAAGATAAAAATCTTTTCAAAATTTTTATCTTCCGCCTTATTCTACGTTTTAGAAAAAACGACACTAACTTTAGAAAAAAAATTACTCTCATCCTTTTTCCCTAACGCGCCAATAGAAGTATAACTTCAAAAAAAACTAAAATGTAAAAAGCTAACTTCAGGGTGTCGGTTTTTTGTAACATTGTGCGCGCGCATCGTAAAAATTCACTCTCATCATTTTTCCCTAACGCGCCAAAAGAAGTATAACTTCAAAAATGGTCTGTAAAGTAGGTTTACGGGCGATAGTTTAACGTGACAACGTCATAACAAAACATTGATGAAATGATTGCATACTTTTGTGAATAAAATTGTTTTTTTTTGAATTATCACAATTTTGTATGGATACAAAGAAGGAGTCAATCCTCGGACGCATTAGCAAATCGAGTGGAAAAGAGATAGATGCGGCGCAAGCGTACAATGAGCGTAACGGGACAATGAGTCATGCTTTTTCGTGGGTGCAGCCGGCGTTCATCGATTTATTAGACGTTACAACTATAATTTTCTTGGTAGTGCAAAAGTTTATTTATATGTGCAAGAGTCATACTCGTCCAAAGTTATTTTTGTAATAACCTTTTGACTAGATGAAGAAAATTCATAATAATTATATATATAAAAGGAAAATGGTCTTCGTTTGAGGCTCCTTCACGCCTAAACCACTGATCGTATCGACATGAAACTACCACCATTCGATGCGAAATTTTTCCTAGATGGTTTATGGCTATTTATTTATTAAATTCCAATTCGTTCCTTCATTTTTTTTTTGCTGTTTTACTTTTATGAAAATTTATCCATACGGACTTCACCGCGGAAACATTCGGGGAGGCTTCCTAGAACCTCTAAACGTCAACATCTGTTAAAAACTCGATTTTCGAAATATTTCAATTTTCTTAGCGGGAAGTTAAAAAGAAGAATAATAAAAATATGAAAAAAAATAAAATAATGAAACATAAAATTTATTTTAATTCGTCCAGCAAAGCGGGCGCGAAACGGCTAGTTATATATATATATATTGATTATTACAACAAAATTATTCATCAAACTTCATCTGCGAATGTAAGATAAAAAACACCTTTACTACATAAGGTATTAACCCAGAATACAAAGTTACATGCCCTTTTTAATATCTCCATTAATTAGCATAAATCAATCACTAATTACAAAAATTACTTCGATTTGGAGGCAAAAAACAGTTACGAACACGTAACACGAGAAATGATTCAAGGTCCTACAAAATAACAGAACGAGATATAACAAGAGCTAAATAAATAATTTAGTATTAACAAGACGCAATAACTGTTTAAACGTATTATATTGATATAGTAAGAGAAGGATTTTATTTACGGACTAAAGAGTCTCGAATTACACGAACGGCTTTTTTTTGTTGAGAATCAATTTACAGATGCCGTGACAACTTTTAAGTGACGTGGCGAGTGTGGGGTCGGTCCGTAAGGAGCTATGCTAACCCACTAACGCCCGAACAATCCACAATGTCCGATTGTTATCAATCTGATCGTGACAGTTGATCTCCTATCTGCATCCCAATAACCAAACCCTACGAAGACAATCCATTTTTGGCGACGGATAAAATGCACTTTGTCGTTCCATTTTACCGAGTTTTCACTCATATTTGATAATCAATTTAAACCAAATAAAGTAAATAAAACCGTACAAATAACATTAAAATACACATTTTTATGTTTAAAACATAACAAACAGTTTTTATAATTATTTAAAAAACTGGTGTAAGTTAAAATCTGTTAAAATAATTAACTTTTGAAATCAAATCCGTTGAATCTTTAGTGAACTGTCATTTTCATACAAAGGTCTATCCACAGACACCGATACGACCTGCAATGGATAGCTTGTATCGACAGATGGCTATTACAATCCGTTGATTGGTTATTGGCACACTTGTTGCATCATTTGGATTAAGATTACGGATTATGGATTGAGGTTATTGGGCTCCGGCGTAAATCTCAACAGCCCTATCTGGTCACTATGGGTAATGGGCGGGACGCAATGTTTCAATGCTAGTCTAAGTCCGAAAAATAAAAAATAAACTTGTTTCATAGATTTTTAAACAAGAAATAAGATTACGTCGACCTTGGGGCTAAAATATTATAATAATTACAAGTAAGACAAAAAATTATGATTGATTTGACGCATTTACTGACGTTCAATAAGACTGAGGAATTGAGTGGGATCAAAAAAATCAGAAGCGAACTAAGAGAAATTTTAGGACTTCACTTACATAAGTTGTAGATACGAAATTCTGTTTGATAAGAAATATGTTTAAATTATTAGATATTCTTAGGAAATTTTATCACGATTATAAACAAAAATTTAACATTTTTATCGTTTTTTATTATCATCTAAATTTCTAGCTTTCGTAAAGGAAAATTAATAAATGATAACATTTTGTTTGTAATAGATTAATGACAAATCGTATTCTTTATGTAACATTCATAGTACATACCCTCGAATTGTAGACTAGAAGATCGGTATAATGTATGTATGAATGTTTGATACACCAAAACTAATGATCGGTTAGTATAGCTAAATAAATTCTTGTTATTTCCATTTCTTAAATATATTTTTTATTAGGAGGCAAACAGGCAGGAGGCTCACCTGATGTTTAGTGATACCGCCACCCTTTAACACTCACATTGCCAGAAGGCTCGCAAGTGGGTTGCCGGCCTTAATAAAAAATTCTCACCCTATATTTTCTAACTCTATGTTAAAAAATATCTCACCCCAGTCGTCTCCTTAGGTTTGGGTACACCGAGATGTTCATACACGAAGAGGCCCTGCTCCATTATACGATCATAACTTATGTTGACAGGCACAATGGTGACGTCATCTACTTCACGGGCAAAATATGGGGCTAATGTCATGGCTAGCATTCCTGAAGAAGACGAGATGATGAGAGGAAATCTTATAATGGTTGCAAACCTTTTTCGAAAACGAAAACCACTATAAAGAAAATAAAAATATGTTTTTTAGGTTATAATGAATATTTTAAAAGAAAAAAAACTGGCACCATCCGACCTCGATAAGACATCCGAGAAACCAGAGTATTAAACGTCTGATGTTCCTTTCTAGGGCATATTTTGTTATTTAAATACTATATATTTAAAAAATAAGTGCATAGTAACAATGCAATTAAAATCTCTAAATCGCCAAATCAGTCCACTATTTTTATTCTGACGTTTATCTTATCGATAAATTAGATAAAATTCACGTGTATCCATATATGAAACGAATATTTAACCATATAGGCCTAATAAAGTATTTTTCAAAATAGCTATGTTATCAAAAACAACTATTGATATAAGCTATCATAAACAGAGTGAAAAAGTATAATATTCACGAACAACTTCATTTAAAAAATCAAGGTCTCTAAGTAACATACGATGCGTATAAAATAAAAAGTATTGCTAACATCTATTTATATACAGTAATATATTATTTTTATAAAAAAAACCGACCACACAAGTCAATAACTCTAGATATGTAGAGTCAATTGTTTCATACTTATCATGCATTCTAGTATATTATTAAATTCTGTATTCTTTGGCCTTTCTCTATAAAAACACTGTCTTCAGCTTTGTTTGGTGGGGTCGGTTACCTGCTTATCTGTTCGAAACATCTAATCTGAAGACACACTGTATATAAACACAACCATAACTGACCATACTTCGGTGGCAAGCTTTTATTGCTTCTACTCCTCGTGCCTTCCAGGAAGAATTCAACAGGGGCTCCATAGTGTGCCACAAGTGTGCGGACATACTGCCGCAATGTGGCTGAGTATAAGGGCGCCCCTGCAAGTGTCCTACGCATATAGAAAGCCCCTGTCTCACGCATCATTTGACCTACAACCGCCATTGTGTAGAAATCTGTTCAAATAGAATAAAATTACTGAATTTATTTTGTGTCTGTATACAATTAGACATATTAATCTCATTGTAAATTATACAAATTACATACATTTTAATTTTTATTTGAATTGATTAATTTCTGACTAATAATATTTATTAAAAACTTAAAGTTTAGATATTTGTGGAAATTGGCCTTAGTAATGGAAGTAATATTTATTACAATAACAATAAAAGTACACATAGTGAGAATGTTTGATTAAGAATTGTTTATGTTTGTTTAAAAACAAATATAATAAACATAATACACATGGAATTGTATTGTCTTAGTTGATCTTGTGTACTTATTATTCCTGTAAAACATGATGATACATTCAACTACTTTATATTATAATATTAAATAAGTTTTTAAATCTTTTAATATAAACAAAAGTAGGAATTCCAAGTTTTATTTAATACAATGTATAAATAAACACCATTTTATATGAACAATGCACTTAATTTATGTTAAATATACAACATACATCAAGGTCATCATTCCTATTACACACAACAGAAATTGAGCAATCATTTCAAATCAATAAAATTTGTTATGAAATAATAATGCAAAGATATCTAAAGGAATAACTTCGTATAAGTAAAATAGGACTCTTCAGTAAAAACAAATATCCAGTATGCCATAGTTTTTAAATAACTACACTTACCCATACCAGCTGCAACAGCTGGTAACTCAATATCATAGTGATAACACAGGTATGTCATTAAACAGAAGTCTGCATAGCTTCTGTGTGTTGGCAGGAATAATACTGGATTGTCACCCATTGTCTTTTTAAGCTGTAAACATATCTGTTTATTAAACAGTCTCCAGGTAAAGAGAAATTATGAAAACTTACAGAAATTTTACAAATTCAATAAACTATTATGGATTCATTGTATGTGTCTAATTATATTGTAACAAACCTCTAAAACTGCAGTTTCATTTACAAAAATGCCAGTTTTCATCATGAAGGAAACATTCAGAAAAAAGACACCCATCCAGCGTATAACATGCATACGCTTATCCATAGCTATTTCTTCAATATATTTTAATACTTCTTTTTGCAAGTGCTGCTTTAGTATCTGAGTCCTTGCACTTTCCTTAAAAAACAGTCAGCTGATTAAGTATGCAATATTTAATTAATGTGGAACAGTTTATATGAGCGAAATATCAAATTAAATTAAAAAATTATAATACTTACAGCATCTAAATAGGAATCCAAGTACGCGGATTGAGTGACTAAATTTTTTATATCCTGTGGGAAATACTCTCGTTCCAGGTTCATTGTTTTTTTTGGAATCCAGGGCCTGGTCATAAATTTCACAATACCAAAGTACGTGTTGCGGGGTTGCAAGATATCTATAAAATCTATTTTGTCACGCATTTTCGTGATGTTTGAGGTATTACTTTAGTGAAAAATGTAAATTATGTGGCCTTTTTTACTTTTAAACACATTGCTTATTAAAAAAAAATCTCAGTTAATTAGGACCAACAGAAGAAATAGTCCAGAGACATAATCAAATAATACATATTTTAATAAGGTTCATTCATTGAAGTGAGGATAACACGATTATTTATTTTGTGCAATTAAACATTTAAATCACCCACACGTTTAGAAACTTGCGCGCACTCTGACGTTACTTTGACAATCGACTTCCCACTTCCCAGCCCAATGAGTATAGTGTTCCCAACTTCTTAGAATTGTCGAAAATTGATGTGCTGTTTCTAAAATATAGATTAATAAATAATACTATTATATAGATTTCTACAACAAAAAATATTCCGTTAATTAACTTTTTCAAAAATAAACAACTGAGAAATTGGTATTATTTATTTGCATGAGTTTAATTTATAAATCAAAAGAATCAGAGATTCGCTGTCAGTCTCTATAAAATGAATTTCATTTATTAGTACCTAATACATTTTATATAACGTTTTCTTGAAGCAACACCACTATAGTCGTATTTTTAATTAGACGAAGCCAACTGACAGTAGCTAAATATGTCACTTTGTAAAATAATGTTGCCATATTTAAAGTAATAGTGATACGTTCAGTTCTTGTTCAATCAGATATTACAATAGTTAATCATTTCGCACTATAAAAGAATATTATTTCTATTTCAAAATTGTATAAAAGTGCTCTGATATAAGTTAGGTACTAGTACTATGTAACTACAATCAGTTTTTTTGCCATCACCGATCATTAATTCAGGGGTTTTTACTTTGTCACAACACTATTTTTATTTCATTAAAAACTGACAACACCGTAAACGTCAGTTGACTTCGTCTAATTAAAAATACGACTATAGGCTCTGCTTTCAAGAAAAGACCTGAGTAGAAACAATCATCCCCTGCTATATCGTTGTAAATCAGCTTGGCAGCAAGTACTTGAATTGCCTACGGATATTTTTTTTAGATTAAAATATAACAAAAGTAACCAGGGGCATTAGTCAAGATGCCTTAACAGTACTGTATGTAGAAAGTCAAAAACTAAGTTGTATGAAAACTTTTCGACACGAACTGTCATTTCCATACAAATTTAGTTTTCGACTTTCTACATACACTACTGTTAAGGCATCATCTATCAATAAAAATGTATATGTATAAAGAATAGGTGGGATTGCTGTGGGTGATCAAAATAAAACAAAAATCATATACTTAAACCATTTATTAAAAAAAAATGATATCTACTTACAACAATTAATTAAAAATCACAGTACCAAATACTTATTACATATTCTGTTGACAACCAAATAAAAAAATTAATATAGTAAAAGAGTTTTTATAAAATCAATGTAATAATTTAATTTTATATTTGGTCACCAATACAGTAACATTACTAAAAAACCCTGTTATATTATTATAAACCAAATTGTTGACTATGAAACTAAAATGTTAATAATAAGCATCAATAGACTGGCCCATGATAATGTATCAAGATATTTAACAAGGAAAGATCACTAACATAGTAATTTCATCATCAACATGTAGTGGAAACTCAAATAATCTTTAGTCATTAAATGAGCAAATAGTATGGCAAACAGAGCAGAAGGAAAGAATACAGATATTTAGCTCTTTTAAATGAATAAAGATTAAATTGGTGTAAGGGCAAATGGTATTTCTAAATTGGAATTACCAGTAAAAAATTGAATAACAACAATCAAAACAATTTTTATATATAACTAATTGGTATAAGTACACATAAAATAATTTTGAATCGTAATTTATTTTTAATAAAATAATTCAAGTCAACTTTAATGTTCAACCACATTATAAATTCACAAATGACAATAAAGCTGTCCATAAAAAATAATGTATTTCTTATATTCTAAATAATATAATACTACATAATATACTAATGCTATAGGTTTTAAAACCATTATAACAAATATCACAATATATTACCTTGTGACGGGGTGAAATAAAGAGAGCCGATCGGTGATTAGATGAAATGGAATTAAATCAATGTCAGTCAGAGATAAAAATTAAAATACAATAATGTAATTGTTATTTTAGGAATACCAGATACAAACTCAGCTATTTGGAAATAATAAAAATGCAAGTTTTACTAGCTAGTGGTGAGCAATAGATTTTCAGAAAAAAGGCCATCAAAATATTTTTTGTAGAAGTCTAGAAGAATATAGATCACAAATAGTTGTCATGTTAGTTTAATTTCTGTGGAATCTCTTAAAAATACATTTAAATTTTTAATCATTATTATTTTACTTTCTTTTCAGATTTCAAATAGCCATTTTTATATTTATTGGCATTATCATCTAAGAAGAAAATTTAATGATATCAAAACTTGTATAATAACAGAAATGGTTCAAAGTGGACTTAAAGACATAAAACCTATTCTTTTAGCTACTGTAATTTCAACACGATATATTTTGTTGAATTACATAAAACAAACAGTAATAAGCTTTTAAAAACATCAATTTTTTTCTTAAATCTTATCCCACTAACACTTAATAATTTTTATGTAGGAGACAACGTCTATGGTTGATTATATTATATAGTAATTCGATAATTAGACATGTATTAAATCCCTAATGAGCATAAAATCTATAAAATAAAACTGACAACTCGATATATTTTGTTGTAGTTCAATTCATCATTTATGCTTTTTTTTTATTGGACCCTTCATCCTTACCTGTCTATTAATGCTTGAGCTCTTCAGTCAGGCGGCATTTGTCAAACCGAGTCTTCGCGATTTCCACCAAAAGGGCGGTAGACCTGTCAATTTGCTGAGATTCAATGCCGTAGTAGCAATTCTTCTCTTTACAGAAGTCCATGTATTTTCGCCACTTTTGGTCTCTTACGAGGCAAGTCGGGTTTCCGATTATTATGAGCTTTGCTTTAGCTCGTGTCAACGTCACGTTGTAACGCTGGAAGTAAAAAGTATCGGTATTGAGATTATAATCTAAATTATACAATGAATTAACTAATTAAATCGATTGGAGCGCTTTTGACAAATTAAGAGTCTTTACGATACTTGCATTCCTCATTCCCAACCACTTTCATTGTATATCACATAGTGAAAAGTTCTAGAATAAAGTTCCCGCGAAATACGGGATACAAAAAATTTTGAATGTATATTATTCTTGAACAGTGAAGCCTGACAAGTGCCCAGGAGACTTCTGTGCTTCTGGAAGGAGCTAGGCTGGCTAAGTTAGTCTAAGTGCGGAAAATGAATCCACCAACCATACCATTTTTGATAGATCTTTATTAGTTAAAACTATTCCTTTACTAAATTGGGCCCAATACTGATAAAAACCTCACCTTGTCATCAACCAAGAAGCCCAGGCTGTATTTGGCATCGTACTCAAGTAGACGACAGTTTGCCCGCACTGTGGACACAAGGATTACCCTCTTCTCTTTCCCCTGGAATGACTCCACTGTCCCCACCTCGATGTCGGGCATGTTGATACTTTTGAGCCAGCCCTTCATCTTGTACACCTGTAAATATGTTTCTACGTGTAAATGATCTATCTACGTCTTTGTTGGTTACTCTTTTGAAAGTTTTTATTTATTTATTTATCAAAGCACCCCCCTGCCCTAACAGGCGATTCTAAATTGACAAGAGTGCACAATAAGTAAATAAAATTTACAGTTAGAGAACTTCCAATGGCAACATCAATTTTAGTACCAGTTTGCGGCATCCAAACACGAAATCCAATTTAATTTTTTTCATTTTGTTAAAATCATTAAAATTTATTATTAAAAAATCTTTTTTTTCATAGAACGGAGCAAATGAGCAGTAGGCTCATCTGATGTTTAGTGATACCGTCGCCCATGGACACTCAATGCCAAAAGGCTCGCGAGTGCGTTGCCGACCTTTTAATAATTGGTACGCTCTTTTTTCAAGTGATTGATTCGGAATTACTTCAGTGGGTGGTTAAAAACGCTCAGTTGTGGGACAAAATCGTGTATCAGCGTAATCTAGTCAATTTAATTAAACTGAACTTGCCCTGCGGTTTCACCCGCGTTTATTTCGTACACAGCCTTCTTTCCTACTAGAAAACACAAAAAATACCAATCAGTACTTCCTGATAGTAAATGAAACAAATAATACCTGTCTAATGTATGGTGCGATCACTCCGATGTCCTTTGGCAACACATTGTGGTCTTCCAGCAAGGCTTGTGTGTAGCGCTTCAACATTTCCAGTTCCCTCTCATTGAAATAGCTGGAAATAATATTTAAAAATTACATATGTACGCTTAAGAATATCATTTCTAGTCATTTGACTTCTTAAATTATTTAAATGGCTATATAATGATTTAAAAAATTGCATAGTGCTTTGCCTGATTTAGTTGCCGCTGCAAAATTTAAGTATACCTACTCAGATTTTTAATTCCGTAGAATTCTGAAATTTCATTAGTGTTGCTACTAAAAATGTTCTCCACTGAATAAGGGACAAATTTGACCCATTTGAAGAAATAAAATTAAATATTTTTATGTTTTACCTACAAAAAAGGTAAATCTAATAATTACTTACTCAAATGACCTAATACAAAAAGCAAATATTTCAATATCACGAACAATATATCGAATTAACTTTAATTACTTTATTTTATTCTTTAGCTGGCATCACTGCCTACTAATTCCAGGTTTAGTAAACCTTTTTAATAAAATAAAATTTTATCTTAACTTTTGCGTTTTTTACTGTTTATGATGAAAAGGGACGTAATTATCACTCGCCGTCAAACCACTTTTTATTTGGAGCACGCACTTAATAAAATGGATACATTAACTAACAAATAAAATGAAAATATAGACTCAGATGTTCAGACTCGCATTAAAACTGAAAAATGTGCCCGGCCAAAAAGGCCATCTCTGGAATGTCAAAAAATGATAGCTGTCAGAATTCTTTGAGGATAAATTGCAGTCTGCTGACGGAATACTTGATCGACCCCTGTGTCTGGCATGTCTTAGGTAAGACTTAATTATAATTGAGAAATATAAATAAATATTTGTAGGATTTAAATACCTGGGCGCATTTCCCATTCTTTGTTCTCGAGAGTTAACTGCGTGGAAGATAACTGCACTGTCTCCGCCAGGTAGGCCGAGGATGCTGCTTTTGCTCAACGGGTCCAATGGGGCAAGGGCCTAAGATATTAAAAAATATACTTATTAAAACTCCATTGCATTATGTTAACTGATACAATACAATTAATATGTTGAAAGATTTTAGATTCTCAGTGTAAGAAACATTTTACATATATATTTATTTATTTCGTAATCCTACAGCTAACATCTTAATATATATAAATTACTGTAATTCTATGAAATTAAATACTAAACATATTTGGTCTTTTACTATTGATACTTAAAATGACTAGTATTGCACGGAAAACTAAAACTATATTGGTTATAAAACATAACTTTATTCGGAATAATCAAAATCAGAATCCAAAAAATCTATAAAACAACGTTTAGGCTATTTATACCTGTTAACTATTCGGAAAAAATATATAATACCTAAGAAATTCAATAACGTTTTGTGTTGCCATTCGAAAGTTTTCAAATAATTCAATTTAATCTTCTTTCATTAGCCAGACTCTATGGATATTCTTAATAAGCATATTCCCCGATAATCTTAACAAATCAACAATAACATGTTATCTAATTAATTTTGGGTGTTATTACAAAAACAAAATCACATGCAACTGCAAGTCAAATATGTTTCCTAAATTTTTTTACCTTTAGATTATTCTCATAGAATAATTCATTGGGTATGGCCAATATATCAGGGTCGGAGCGGAAGTTCTGCACAAGCATTGTCATGTAGTCCGGGTTTGATCCGTATATGTTCGTGTAATTCAAGCTTAGACGCTCCAACAACGATTGGCCTGGAACGTTTAACTCTCAATTAATAATTTAACTGAATTAGAATACGTTTAGAACTATAAATTTAACTTGGAGTAATTTAAAATTTTTGAAATTTTTACTTTATTTTATTATTTATTTCAAAGTCGTTTTCCCATTAAACTAAAGAAGTACAAGACCTCACCTAAACCTCTTTCCTTCGCCCCTGTTGAAATGCAAACAGGTCCCAACTGTTGGGGGTCCCCAGCCAGAATGAGCTTCCCATTTGGAGATAAAAGCCCTGTGATGGGGACCAACACCGCTGGTTCAGACGCTTGAGCTGCTTCATCCACAAACAGATGGGTAATTTGGAGTTTTTGAGTTGCCTGGCTGCGCAGTCTGCAATGTATCACAAAATGTATTAGTCCACACGAGCCTTTAATATTTGAGAGATTATGTCAAACTGTTTTTTTAATCACAATCATTGCATTGCACACTTGAATATTGAGTCCTATACTTTTTACCACACCCATCAATTGTAATTTAACATCCTCGTTTCCGACAATGTCCAATAACATAAGTCACTTAGATTTAACGAAGCATTCAACGTATCTACTTATAGTCGCAATGACTGATTGTATGATTAATATTTAAAAAAATTGTTTTACGAACTCTTCAATAAGTTAGCTTTTTATTAATCCAGCGTCGCAACCCCACTACGCCGAATTCTGTTTGTTTTAGCACATGTTTACAACACTTAAAGCCAGTTGTTACCCAGCTTCGAACAAATTGTTTAATTTAACATATATCTGAACATATACACAACCGCCACCAAACTTAACTCAAAACTGATTTAAACTTGCATTTATACTTACGATGCATATTTAGCAGCATGTAACAGCGTGGTCACTAATATCCTGTACGTAGCCACTTGGGCGTTGCCAACAGAATAAAACGTCTCGAAGCTAATACCATTCGACACTGATGCTAATGTCGGCGGCATCGTCGTCCTATTAAACATATATTTCGATAACAATATTAATTCAATCAACAGTAATCCCTCCTATAACACGGTAGATTAGTTCCGCGTTATGGGAAACACGTTGCAGGACGTTGCATTACGTGCGTATCACCTCATATAACGCGTTATGTACAAATGATTCACGTTGAACTTTTCTCTTTAAAGGGGATTTAAATCGAAAATTAAGAAAAAATGTTACGAACGAAATAAGTGCGTACGGATCATTATAAATGTCAGAATACAGAAATATGTATGTGAAATCCTCGTGTTATACGAGACTTAAATCGCGTAATATGCAAATGCGTTATCAGACTATCGTGTTATAAGGGCGTTTACTGTATGTTAGAATATTCCAATAAGAGTTCTATAAAATTACTGCTTTCAACTATTTAGAAATTGTTTCACTCGATATCTCTCGACTCAATAAAAAAAGCTTTTCAAATTTATAAGTACATCAGCGTCATATATATATGTTTTATAACATTATAAAACATAGTTAATTAAATTATATTCAACTTCTATATAGATATAGAAGGACTACTACTTCAACTTCTATGATATAAAAAAAACTAAGAAAGCATAGGCAATAGGCATTATATTAGGTCCTTACATATTAAATTGGCGTTTTGTATGGGAGGAACAAAAAGTCTGGAAATATAAATATATTTAATTAATCAAAGTATGAACCATTATTTTCTATGCACTTTTGCCATCTCATAGGTAGTTCATTGATCCCTTTACTAAAAAAACCAGTCGGACGGGAATCAATAAAATCTGTGAAGGCGATTTGGACTGCCCCATCAGAGTTAAATTTTTTCCCTTGCAAGAAGTTGTCCAAATTTCGAAAAAAATGGTAATCTGTTGGAGCAAGGTCCGGGGAGTACGGAGGATGTCTTAGACATTCCAATTGAAGCTCTTCTAATTTGGTAGCTGTCTGTTGTGCAGTGTGTGGTCTAGCGTTGTCGTGAAGTAGCAGTGGCGTGGAGCGATTGACCAGCCTAGGTTGTTTAGCCGCTAGCTTTTCCATCATGGTTTGCAATTGCTGACAATAGACATCAGCAGTAATAGTCTGGCCAGATTTGAGAAAACTGCAATGAACAATACCGGCACTAGTCCACCAAACGCTTACAATTAACTTTTTTGGGGTTAATTTTCGCTTGGGGCAGGATTTGGCTGGCTGGCCAGGATCCAACCATTGCGCTGAGCGCTTCCGATTATCGTAAACAAACCATTATTCATCACAGGTAATGATTCGGTTTAAAATACCTTCATTATTGTGCCGGTTCAGTAATGTAACGCAGCAGTCGACGCGCGTTTGCCGGTTTGCTTCAGTCAATTCGTGAGGTACCCATCTTTCAAGCTTTTTAATCTTCCCAATTTGCTTCAAGTGAATTAAAACAGTTTTATCACTAACACCGCAGCCTGCAGCTAACTCGGACGTGGTTTGCGATGGATCCGCTTCCACAATAGCCTTCAATACTTCATTATCAACTTGGGTCTCAGGCCGTCCACGGGGCTTGTTCTGCAGGTCGAAATTTCCAGAACGAAAACGTTGGAACCAAAAACGAACTGTGTTTTCTTTTGCAACATGACCGCCATACACATCATTCACACTTCGAGTCGTTTCCGCAGCACTAGTGCCACGGCGGAACTCGTACTCGTAAATAATGCGATACTTTAAGTTTTCCATTTTGTAAAATGAGTGACGCAAACAGAAAAAAAACAGTAGAAAAAAACAAATGAATGACGGTCATCGAAGCACAAATACATGAGTAAATAGCTGTACAAATTTGAATTTGGAATTCCTTACCAAAGAGGAGAACATCGTGATTAAAGTGGCCAGTACGAAATACGCCAATTTCATATGTAAGGACCTAATATATTAACTAAGAACGACAATCAAGCTTTAAGTGAAAGTTAAGCAATTGTTAAAAATATGAATGAATTGATAGTTAATAGTGCCACGCACTTATCGGACCTCATTATCGAATATTTTCAAAAGGTTAACATTTGACTATTACTCCCGAAATTAGAGCAAATAAGCTAGCATCCGATAAATCGATGGCACTAGCGACATACCATTCACGGCACTGCGAGTTAGCTCGAAATAGGAAGTTTGTAATGTTGAGTTCCTTATTATACTGAAGAAGCATCAAAGCGATGTGATCCGCCGCCATGTTTGAGTCCGTGCAAACCAACACCCGGTTCCTTTGGTTACGGACCACAAGCTGGAGTTAAAATATAACAATTTTAGCCAAATATTTAAAAAAATGAGAGAGCAGTGTTGGCCTAGTAGCTTCAGCGTGCAACTCTCATCCCTGAGATCGTAGGTTCGATCCTCGGCTGTGCACCAATGGACTTTCTATTAGCACATAGCATTCGCTCGAACGGTGAAGGGAAACATCGTGAGGAAACCGGCTTTCCTTAGACCCAAAAAGTCGACAATTTCAGGCACAGGAAGCTGATCACCTATTTGCCTATAAGATTAACATAAGATCATGAAACAGATGCAGAAATTTGAGGCCCAGATTTTAAACAGCCACTGATTTATTCATTTACTTTATTTTATTAAAAATATATGTTTAATTTATATATATTTACTTAAACCGTGGCTTTTGTTACATTAAATAATAATTAAAAGCAAAATTTAAAATTAGACCACTTAGCTCAGTTTTGTACATAAAATCTTGATTGAATATACCATAAAAATTCTTATTATAAGCAATTATTAGTACAAATTAAAAAAAAAAACTAACTAAGAGAAAACACCAATTTTATGTACCTGAATAATCGCTTCAACAATGGTCATAGTCTTTCCAGTTCCGGGCGGGCCATAGACAATGTATGGAGCGAGGCCATGGGTCCCTGACACAATGTGTGCAACGGCAGATCGCTGTTCTGGGTTGCTAGCTATTTTGTCGTTATGGAATCTGTAATATGACTTCATGTATCATCTGGTGTCTAAAAATTTATTTTATTAAAATTAAACATTAATCTATTATTTGTGTATTAAATTTACAAAAAAAATACTCTTGGTAAACTGAAACGCGTATTTACATTTTTTTACGATACAGGTGTTCCCAGAACGAAATTGCATTTTTTTTATTACGTTTGTCTTCATATACTTATGTTTTTATAGTCATAGCTTAGGGAGCGTTCAAGTATTACGTCACGCATTTTTTTTGAGATTCTTGCACCCCCCCACATCACTTATATAAGTAGGCTATATAAATACACGTGATAAAATAAAGAATTATTAAATAAAAGCTACGAGAATAGGTCTCATTATACCTTGTGATCCTCTGAAGAGGCACCTTCTTCTGATTCAGTTGGGGAAATACTCTTGTTTCTTGTTTACTCGTAAAGAGTTTGTGGACGGCGTCATGCATCCGCTCTTTTGGCACACGCGACATTATGAATCGGACGTCGAATAATGCTTCGGGGTAGTAGAGCACCAAAAAGCTGAAAAATCGTTAACGATTACCTACGTTAGCATTTGAAACAAAGGACGGCTGTGCTTTCGCTGTATTGTGATTGGACAGCAGCGATTCTGTTTGACCAATCACAAAGCGACAAGCGCCGTTGTTTTGTCTTAAATTTTAACTCCTCTACCTATCTCTTTTTCGTTAAAATCTGTAAGTAATACAAAGATTTGGTTTTCATAACATAATTGACCTGTTGTTTACTAATTTGGTCACTGATTATAAGTATGCCCTAATGTTTTGTACAGCAGCTCTAGTTATTGAGATATAGCTATCAGACATATTTTTGTGTGACTGTTACTAGTCACAGTTAAACTTCAAATCAACCGACCTGTTTTTTTTAAAGATTTTTGAAGTTATACTTCTTTAGGCGCGTTATTAAAAAATTGATGAGAGTGAAATTTAACGATGCGCACGCACCGTGACGCAAAATTAACAGAATGAAGTTGCCCAGGGAAGATGCTACGACATTCGACATAATTTAATAACAACATTCGAATAATAATAGAATTTATGTTGCACTTAATGTAAGAGAATAATAATAAATATTTATTTATTTAATTTTTCAAATGTAAACTGAACTTTATTGCCTATAATGACTCCTTTTCCAGTCTTTGATTATTTAATTGTAATTAATTATTTGCATGCAATCAAAAACTATTTTTAATAATGCCAAAGAAGTATAACTTCTTACGCGCGTACATAAGTACACGCACCCTTTTTTTTAACATTGTCCACGAGAAATAACTATCTAACGTAAAACCGATCCCTACTTTTTTAACATCTGTGGTATACATTCAAAAATTATAGACCTGCCGAAATGGTTTTAACTAACTAACTTGTTATCAGTAACTCAACCAGTCCTGTACTCTGGCAATGAGCTAGTACTCAAAGGTCATCTAAACAAATAGATCACGATTTAGAAAGAAAAGCTCTTCGTCAAGTGGAGTAAAAAGAACAAGTTATTTTATACTGAGCCCCAGACCCAGATATTGTTTCTGAGCTCCAGCTCTTTAATAGGAAGACCTCAATGTCAAAGATCTTGGACCTTCGTTACTAAAAAAAACGGAAATACTAGCTTTTCAATCAGCAAAGAAATCTTTACCCTCAGAAACAATAATTTCGAAACAGACGACAAAATTGCTTTAAATATTTACTGAAACGAACTGATCGACTTTGTTTTTTGGTTCTGATGTTCACAACTGAATGTAATAAATGAACCCGTTGACCAGGTTTGCATAATACTGCCACCTTTACATATTAAACTAACAAATTGTGAAAGCTGGAATTGGGCACAAGGATGTTTATTGATTTAAATTCATCTCTGTAAAGTTCCATAATTTGAGCACAGAGAAACTAAACGCCGGAATTCTTGACGGTCTTCAAATAAGAAGATTGATAAAGGATGAAAACTAAGTTACATGACTGATAATGCAAAAAATTTCTGGAATAAATTTGTTTGGACAGCACTAATGTAGAAACTGCGCATTTGGTCTATTTTAGCTACTTTCACAGCATAATGTCTTACGACATTGTACTGTGGGATCGGGCTGCTGACATAGAATCCATTTTTATTTTGCAAAAGAGAACTGTCAGAGCCATTTATAATCTACGTCGTCGCGCATCTCTCAGAGAACTATTCAAAAAAGAATGAAAATATTATGTATGTAAGAAAGAATCTACATAATTTTAGTACTAGAAATAAAGATAAAATAGCTCAACCATCTTTCAGATTAGCCAAAGTTTAAACATCATTTATACGGTACTGTGTTAAATGTTACAATAAAATACCTTGTGACATATTAAACTAAATTTAAATGTTTCTTTAAAAGTAGGTACACTTTGTAAACAAGCATATTACAAATTAGAGGTTTATATTCAAGATAAGAATGGTTGGAACATGGTCCTGTTCCATAGGACAATCATAGAGCCTGGACAATTAAATTGGTTGCTGATTTTTTGCTTTTACATATTTTTGTTATTTTTTATTTTATAATACTACAAAATGTAACTCTTTATTTGTATCTCACACACTGCTTTATTGTGTTATTTTTTATTTTTATTACTCTTTAATGTATAATATTTTACGGTTTCGATATTTGTAAATATGTGAGGAACATACGTACTCCCAACTTTTTTAGTATAGTAGTTTTATTCTAGGAGTACATTGTCTTCACATATAATTATTTAACTAATGTATACAAAATATTGTACACCTATTTTAAAAGAGTAAGTGTGGAGATTCTTGCCCATTCTTCTCTACACGAAACTACCTTTTGGAAGGGGCAACTAGAATCATCTTTATATTTTATTTGACGTTCAAAAGTGCCATTTTAGGTGGACGCTCATCTGATGTTAAGTGATACCGGCGCCCATGGACACTCTCAATGCCAGAGGGCTCGCGAGTGCGTTGCCGGCCTTTTAAGAATTGGTACGCTCTTTTCTTGAAGGACCCTAAGGCAGCTGGTTCCACATAGTGGCGGTGCGCGGCAAAAACTGCCTTGAAAAACGCTCAGTTGTGGAACGGCGGACGTCGAGGTGATACGGGTGGAATTTCGTATTCTGTCTCGACGTCCGATGATGAAACTCAGCTGCAGGTATTAATCCGAACAGCTTCTCTGAACACTCTCCATGGTAAATGCGGTAGAAGATGCAGAGTGACCCCACATCTCTACGCAACGCCAAAGGATCAAGCCGCTCGGAGAGGGATTGGTCGTCGACGATTCGAACCGCTCTTCGTTGAATACGTGGGAAACGTTACCAGGGTCACTGGAATTCTGACATGAAGGCTATTGTTGGAGCATTAGAAACAGACCTCGAGAACTAGCCTAGCAAAAAAATCTTACAAAAGATATTTTTAAAAAGAAGTGTTGGTTTTCCTAACGGTTTTCTTGATTCTTCGTAAAAAAACTGTATCTCAAAAACTAAAGCTCTACAATCAATCCAATTTCAAGCTCAATCTGAAAACCGCATCACGAGAAAGTATAATATTAGTTATAACTTTACATGCAACAAACATGACGTTGACTATCGATTCAGCAGCGGCGCCACAAAACTGAATGAATAATAAATTGTTTCGTTCTCGTATTACTCATAGGTTTTGCGTTCTTTCTAGAAAGTTCAATTGCCATGATTGGATTTCGATTTATAAAGCGAACTAAATAGTACATGCAATTAATTTAATTTAATTATCAAGTCTGTAATGATAAAAATATCCAGCGTTTATGTGCGAATCCCGTATTAACAATATGATAGTATATAAATAATACACAATACAATATTTAGACATAACATACATATTACAAGATGTATAAATTTAAATAAATGCAACCTGGCCATTTTCTAAAGCGCAATAGAACAAAATTCTATTATCCATATCCATCGAACTATAAAATTATTTGTTAAGTGTATTTGTATTCCAAAATTATTCGATTATAAAACGATTTTAATTGGATCCCTTCTTTATTAATGAGGGGAATGCATTTCCGCACACAGTGTGGGACTCGATCTAAAAGTGGTCCAATCCTAATTTTTTTTTATGATACAGCATAAAATACTTACAACCCTTAATTTTCACCCCTCTACGATCAAACCCTTTTTTTATTATAGTAGATAGTTATTTTTTTTAACTAAAAAATGTTTCCTATAAATTATATACATGGCAAAAGAACGTTTACCGGGTCAGCTAGTATGTTATATATTTCGCTATATATACATACTTCTTTATTAGGAAATATTTTATGTTTTAATTGAATTATTTATATTTATTTACACTTTGTTACCAAATAATTCGTTAAAAAACAAATTCATACATATAAAAAAAACGCAGGTTACATAAGTTATTAGGCAACGGGCGGCCTTATCGCTAACAAGCTATTTCTTCCAGGCAACCCTAATATGGAACAATAAAATAAGAAATACCAACAGAGGGTAAAGTACAGTGCATAATTAATTAACAAAAAAAACTCAAAATACTAAAATAAAACTGTATTTTTCTGTAATTTTGTATGAACAAAAATGTAAAAGAAAATCCAAAGGTTAATTCACAATTAATATATATAAGTAGTAGCTAATTTAGCAGAAGAAAAATGATCAAAAAGAAGATTTTTAAATAAATTTAAAGACTGAGCTCGTCTGATATCGATTGGTAAAGAATTATATAGTCCATTGAAATGTTACAATTTGAGGGCCAAACTGAACTGATTGTTAGAGGACGCAATTTTATTTATGGGACCTGTAGGGGGGGTCAATACAAGCTTAACCTCAAGTTTGTGGGGTTGTCCCCCGGCCGCCATCTTGGAAAAAGGGGTCCAAAAACCACGTTTTTGGCTATATCTCCTAAACTATCCATCGTACATAAAACTTGCAAAGACACATTTTGTAGCAAATCGCTGTGCCTACAATTATGTCTATGTAACTTTTTATCATAAATCCAAAATATAACACACATTCTCACCTTGAGTCCAGTCCAGAAAGCAAAACAGTATTGTCGTCGATATTTTTAATTGTGCTCTCAAAAACATACTCTGGCGCGACTTGTGGACGGACAAACACTCGATCACCTGAAGACAATTAAGTTTATCAAAGAAATATACACACTTAAAGCCATAAGAGCGAACATTTTATTAGGCAAAAAACATTTTGAGATTCGATATAACTTATTTCACTGTACTATGTTTTTTTAAATAATCACACATAAGAGGTAAATTCTAGTTACTCTATCCCTATTTCGGCTCAACTCAAACGATGGCTTAGGATATTTCTAAAAAAATATTTTATTCATTCTAAACTTTTAAAACCTACTTTAACTCCATTATAATTAGGTGACGGACGGTATAAACAACTATTTATTTATTTCGTAATCCTACAATCCTACCTAATAAAAAACAATTATACTAATTTTATAGCCAAGAGTGGTAATGACATTTACAAAACTGAAAACATTTACGAAAGGAAAAAAATATTAAATACATTTAACTAAGTAATTCCTAATTCGGCTGTGTTGTGTGATGGTGTGGAAGATAGGGTGTGTATGTGAGGTGTGATCATGATGCAGGTTATTTAGCGCTATGGATATTCTTAATACTCCTTTTAAGCATATTCTGCGATGGTCAAGGCTTGCAGAATTGGTGTTGACGTGAGGAACGTGAAACAAAGCACGTCACCTGTCTGGTAGGCAGGAACACGAAAGTGCAACTATGGTATTGCTTTCGTCGAGAGTCTAATGCAGTGTTTCCCAACCATTTTTGGTCCCACCTTAGCCAACCTAAACTTCTTATGCCCCCCATATGTAACATACATAATTTATACGAAATTTAAATGGTAGGTTTTACGAAGAAATCACAAGGAAATTGTTAACGAAACAATAAGTGAATTTTCAAAACATAATGAAAAAGTGGAATCCAATTTCCAAATAATTTTAATAAAGATTTTTCTATATTAATTTAGTGAGATCCTTGTGTTTAATGCTTGCTGCACAGAGATTTCACATTAGAGTCCAATTTGGTTGGCTTCAGTCTCAAGTCCCCACGTTATGTTATGTCCAGCTGATTTCGATTACCCCCTTATCAATCAAATTGGCCCACGTTGGGAAACACTGGTCGAAAGTATCAATATATATATATATATATATATTCTCACATGCGTCTTTATAGGTATAAAACTAATTGTTGATCTTATAGGAGATAATTTTTATTAAGTCATTTGGAATCTTTTAAATTTTCTCTTTGTGTACGGTGACCAAACCGAGCAACCATATTCAAGAACACTTCTTAGACTATATTAGATACAGTTAGCATCATGAAAATGTTCACTGACTCTTCTGTGTCCATATATTCACTATACGTCATTTAATAGTCTAACCTTACACCTAAGTCACGAACACTATATACTTCTTTAACTGATTTAATATTACTACATATTAATGAAACAAAAATAATATTTATATAAAACGACCATTTACTTGAATTACTGTGCTCTAAAGTACTGTACTTCAGTTGTGGTCATACACGATAAATTTCTCCATATTTTTTTAATATGTACTTTAACAAAAATAAAACCGTTAACACAAAGAAATATGAGAATATAACAGGTAGGTAATATGAAACAATACCTGCGCATTTGGCATGGTAATTTTCATTACAAATTGGTGGCAATAAATTTTTGATTCGTATTTTGCCCATTACAGCGTTAGCAGATATTTTCTTTTGTTAACAACGGATTAGAAATTGAGGAAAAGGGAGTACCTGAATAAACAAAACAATAATTACCTCGCAACAAAGAAGGTCTCTTCTCAGCCAGGCCTGGTACTTCGAGTATAAAGAACTCGTCTCTCTTAACTAGCTTCACGCCAAACATGTTGTATTTCTGTAAATGAATTCTTTAAATATATCCGAACATCCCTTTAATCATTGTCTATGGTAAAGAATAAATGCCGATCGAATTTGTTTTAGGATTTTTTTAAATATATATGAAGTAGTGTAAGTAGTTCGGTAGTTTCCACGAGAATGTAAGTGCCTGCTCCTATTTCACCATGCCTCCTGGTGATGGAGGACAAATCTTTGTTTTTAATTTATTTTATTATTATTTATTACTTAAGATGTCATTTGGAACATGGTGTAATGGTTGCAGCTCCTTACAAACGTTGTGTAAAACAAAAAACTTGGCGATTAAAAAGAACGGCGAAGAGTTTATTGCCAGTTCTTCTCTTCCGGTCTATACGGTTCTTTGAGAACTGGCAGTAAATGTAAAATTAGAAGAATTTAATGTATATTTCTTTTTTGACGTTCATAAGTGTACTTTGTTCTACCTATATGAATAAATGATTTTTTACTTTTAACTTTTAAATTTATTTATTTATATTTTATAATTAAAAGCCAAAATTTATAACCAGAATTATAAGCAAATCTTAAAATGCCATGATATTTTCATTTTTCCTTGCGAGGGATTTTAATTTTAAACGCACACACAATGTTTTTTACATTTACAATTAAAAGGGTTATTATTTATAAAAGTCTCTCAATTAAGACAAAGGTTTTAAATATTTATTTAGGAATGTGTCACAACAGATAATGTCGAGTTAAAGTCCGCGATATATTCCAAAATCACGATAAGATTAGACGTAAATATAAAAAAGGACCGATTGAGAGCATCTGTCATTTTTAATATTTAGATTACACACTTTAAGACTTATTCCTTTCTGATGTATGTACTTCTTATTTATTTTGCTCTGGCTAAACTTAAAATAATTTTTGTTGGGTATACTACAGGCCTTCCTATCGTAACAGTTTTTTTAGTTATTGTATTGTTATAACAATAATGATTCCTATTCTCATGAGATGTCAAAACTTTAGTTAATTGCAGTGAGTGATTTCTGCCAATTAACTTATCCTATTTTTATTTATTTATATTATAGAACTTATATATAACATTTATTTATATATGAGTTCTAAAACAGAGCGTATGCATAAAATTATACAAGAGAATATGACTTCACAAATTTACACACAAACACATAAACATCAATTATATTAGAACATAAGCAAGCTAGCAAGGGAAAAAATTAAACAAGCAATCACAAAATAAAAAAATAATAACTTAAAAAAAGTAATAATTACTATAACTTAAACCTTATTAAGAGCATGATAAACAAAGTTACGGTAAGTTGGAAGATTTTTGGAAAATATATCAATATTTTCATCCATGTTAGTAATCAAGTTGTAAGAGCGAGATATCTTATTAAATTATTATTACATAAGAGAATGTTAGATTTTGTATTTATTTAATTTGTGTCTGCTATTTATTATAAACGTAAAAAACATCTGTAGTATTAAATAAATGCTTTGAACAACAGAATGTGGTGCCTGGAGAACCACACCATATCTATAATATCCAGGACACTAAGTTCAACCCGCGTTTTTATACTCGTTTTTTAAGTACTCAAATTAATTAATAAAACATACCCGCAAGTTAATCTTCGCAACCACTTCTTCCCACCACAGGAGATGATGGAAGAAGGCCACATAATTCCTCTTCGTGTAGCCCTCATCGAAGATCATTCTGTCAACAAAATCTATACATAAACAAAAAGAATCGCCATGTGCTCATAACTTTTGAAAGACACCAATGCAGATAATAATTCTTTCTTATCATTATATTAGGAAATAGTTTCTAATAATAAAAAAATCTTTAATATATAATATATGAGCGAATGACAGAGGACTGAGAGATCTTCTCTCAATCTCTGTCTGGTCGTGTTCGCATGTTGTAGGGACGGCACCGCAATCGTTTCACTGAGGAAAGCTTTATCATCACGCTAAGATCGAATTAACGCGACTAAAACAGAATACCATCCAATTTAAAAATTAACTCCTATTAGTTAGGCATAAATCCTTAATTATTTAACTAAATACGCCTTATAGTACGTAGGCAATTTAAATATAAAATGAACCAATCGCCCAGCAACCAACAAGAACCATGATGAATGCAAAGCAATCATACGCATTATACATCTATTTATTTGAGTGTCCCAAAATCTACTATTGGAGGGTATCCGCCAACCAGAAAAAAAGGTGTGTTTTGTCCATGGGCATAAACACATGCCTAATACAATACTTTTTTTAATATACAACTTATTTTTGTTAAGAATAGAAGATAGATTTACACGTACACGGATAAATGCAAATACTTTTTATAGACGAGTATAATTGTTTTAAATATAAATAAAGTTCAAAATTCTCAGAACAAAATTATATTTATCAACATACAACCTTGAATCATCCCGACATTTTCAACGTTCGCCAAGCGTGGTATAGTATTTTTATTTGCAGCATAAAGCATATAATCTAATCATTTTAAATTATTTATAAATACATGCGCTTTAATTAGGTGATATTAATTTGAAACTGCTCATAGCTATATTAAACTTATCAATCGAACAACAACAAAAGATTAAAGAAACACAGATAAAACTAACATAACTATGCAGTTATGGTTATAAATAACGGTGTTAATATTATTATTATTTTTTAATAGAGCGCATCGTGCAAACAGTCTTCTGACTATGAGCAGATGAGTTGTAGGATGATTTGCGGGTGGAGATATTCCTCATTAGGAATATCGACCATAATATTATATTAGCTCAGTGATTGCTGCTGAGATCAAGGGTTCTTCGTCTTTTGAGTCGGTTTATATACTCCGGTTGGGTGAGTTGAACAGCTAGGTGTTAATATTTAAATGTTTACTTCAAATAAAATATATACAATTGGTTAGTTATGTATTGATAACTTTAAAAACTTCTTACTTGGTTGAATTCAATAATAGCCTGAGTTGTTCTCGTTCCTCAGTAGGTAAATTCAAGCTCTCTAATGAATTATCTGCCAGTCCGAGGGGCAAGAGAGTCTTCAATAACTTAGGAACTGTGAAATTCGAGCATGATCTAAAAATATAAAAAGGAGATATTTTATGAGTGAGCTAACTACAAATAATAAATTTTACCCGGAGCTGTTAATATTACACTTCATTATATATTTAAACAAATTAAATAACTAAAAATATTCAGAATGCATCACAATTGGAGAATAGAATTGTGACAAAGAAAAGAATTCTTTTATAAGTGTATTGTGGGGAGCGAGAAATAAGAATTCAAGAAATAAAAATCCTAATTTAACTGTTTTACTAATTAATGTTAAATTATTTATTTTTAAGGAACAAAGGGGAGGTTTGCAGTAAACAATTACTTACGGCTGGATTGTGGAACAGACATGCAACGGAGCTTTTTCCCAAATACCATCTGTGTAGGGATATTTAATGGTAGCGTATGTTTCACTGTGCTCTTGTACTAACACTACCTGTAAATCAAAATTGGTAAGGCCTCTGCAGCAAAGGTAAGCAGACTGTTATGAATTTAAACACAAGAAATGTGTTATTAGTTAATGTAAACTAACCAAGATATAGATGTAACAAAAAATATCAAAATGAACAAAAGTATAGTTCTTACCATTTCTCTGATGAATATAAGGTTCTTATTATCACTTTGACGGAAAAGTGTAAACATAATTGGCATCTCATACTGTCCGATATCTGCTGCATTAAATATTATACACACATTTCCATTCAATGAAGTTTCTAAAATGAAATGTACAAAAGTGTAAAACCAATATATATAATTGAGTGTTGATATATCTTGCGTGTGTTGCTATTGCATGACCATAATGTGTAGGACTTCCAATTCTTTCTAATAGAAATTGTGTTGAAATTAAAGTCCAAAGATATTATAGAAATTAGATATTATTGAACAACTGCAGTATACATACATAAATTAAATCTAATTATTCCCATTGATTAAATACCCTAAAATTTAATATCCTACTACTTACTTTTTGCAATGATATTTGGTTCTTCTCCAAAGATGTATGGATTTTTGTCCATGACAAATTGTGGTTGAGGGTGGGCAAGTTGAACACCAATTATAAACAGATCCTCTTTTTTCATGTCATTACTTATGTCAAATGTAAACTTTACTTGCTGATGTGGTTTTACCTAAATAATAAATTTAATTTAATATTATTCCAGTAAGTAGTATATACTAATATATTATATTGAAAGATAACAGACCAGGAAGACATAAATTTCTTCGATTAAATGGCTTTAATAAACCTAAACGGGAAATAGGTTAAATAAAGTACTTATTTCAATTATACTTACAACAATTTGAATCTTGTGATGGTCACAATTTTCAACTTTCCTAACATGTGCCGTGTTCATTGGCAAACTTTCTGCATGGCCAAAAATTTTTACCCCATGTTTATTTTTACTGAAGTAGGACCTTATAAAAAAGTATTGAAAATAAGAAATAATTTTGAATAATCATAATCAGTAGTTATTTTGAGTTAAACAAGGCAAACTAGACAGACATATTTTTTTTAATATACCTTCTAAACACAATGATTTTATAGATGATAAGGGTCAACTTCAAAATTAGAATAATTTAAATAATTTATCACTGTTTAAATATTTTAACGGTATATAAAGTGCACAGGTACTTACTTGTTATTATTATAATTTAGTAAAATTAAATTACACATATGTTTTGGAGTATCCTCATGATGGATAGCAGGATTTTCATCGTACGCTTCGTCAACATAGCCACAAACTTTACAAAACTTGTTCCTGCGAACAAATTGTCACAAAAATTATCTTAGACAAATATAAAATACCAACAAAGAAAACTTTTTAAATTCACTCACATTTTTAGTTCTGCAAAACAGCCGGGGAGGCCAACGTGATCCGTAAACTATAGCTTCGTTACACAGTTCTCACCACACTTTTTTATATTAACCGATAGGCAAATCGGCCGAAAGGCCGAATGTACCAATATGTCTTAACTCATAACAAGCAACAGTCAATAATAAACAACCAAACTGCTGAAACTGCGTCAGCAACGGTGGACGACGGTAATCCCCGGCCACAGACACAGAGTACGTTTTGTGTAATATCGAATCGTCAAATGTAGTGGTGACTGGTAAGGCGTATATCACACAACAGGATTCAACACTAGGTTTCGCTCGAGACGTATAAATACTAGGTATTTCAGTTGCGCACGAAGGCGAGCTAGTCTAGTCCATCGACGGCTTGAAACTCCAAGAGTAAAAGCTTTTTGCAAATGCACTTGACCGCTGTCACTGAACGCGTAATAAATACTAAAGTCTAAACTTAAACTTTGAGTATGAGACGCGTTTAATGTTCACGTGTTTGAGTCAAACCCTTATGTGGCCAATGAATTTTAACTTTATTTGGCACGCTAACGACAGCTTTTTCAACCTACAGAACGCGAAATACTTGTAACTGTAAGACGCGTTTGTTTTCAGGTGTGTTAGTGTAGAGAATACCGACATCCAGTAACGATTAATTATTATAGACCTTATAAGTACATAAGCATTTTTAATTATTCGTGGATAATACACGTATGGACAAAGAGGAAAAGGTAGCCGTATTCCAACTTTTAAACTGAAGAATGCTTTATTGACAGCCAAATCAATTTTGAAATTATTTAAAATTAAACATATTTTACAATTATTTATAAGGTTAATTCGCTTAAACTTTATATAGAAAGAGAATAATTATTATAATTAGTTAATTAAAAGCTTTTTTATAATGTACGTAAGTTTAGTGTTAAAAATTAATGTATATTTTAAGTGTTGTAAATATAATTAACAATTTTTAATAACTATTTTGTGTAACCTACTCTATCTATCATTATACAAGTAACTATCAGTCAGCTATAAGTTGATCGATATAGAATATATAGAAGACGCCTTTTTTTTCAAGACGTTAAAACAATGAATTACGCATTTCACCTATAAAAATTTGCAATACATATATATACAGATTTTTGTCAAAAAAGGGTGCGTATACTTATGTACGCGCGTAAGAAGTTATACTTCTTTGGAATTTTTAAAAATAGTTTTTGATTGCATGCAAATGCAAATAATTAATTACAATTAAATAATCAAAGACTGGAAAAAGAGTCATTATAGTCAATAAAGTTCAGTTTACATATGAAAAATTAAATAAATAAATATTTATTAATATTATATTTATATTTATTATTATTTTCTAATATTAATTAGTATTGATTTAAATCACTTCTGATTATAATTCAGACGCACATATAAAATTCGCACATGTATAATGAAAATAAAATGAAAACACGTGTTTTAAATGTAGAAACTCAAAGCATGTGGATAAATATTATAAATATAAATACACAGTGAACAGAGGTGGCGTGCGTGCCAACATGCGCCACTAACTTTATTCTGTTAATTTTGTGTCACGGTGCGCGCGCATCGTAAAATTTCACTCTCATCAATTTTTCATAACGCGCCTAAAGAAGTATAACTTCAAAAATACTGAAGTAATGGTATAGGCCTACAAACTTACCTATCTGACTCGGTGACGGCGTCGCTAGAGTCAAACTTAGTGTAGCACTCAATTGAAAGTTGGCGGTTTTTAGGGTAAAATTCTTTCAGTCTTATTTATACAAACAAGATTCCTTAAAACACTGGATAAACGTCGATTGAAATATTGTGGTAGAGATTTTTCAAGGCAAAGACGTAACCACAGATTGAATAAAGGAGTGTTTTAAATTAATCGTGTTTTTATACATATGACCATGGCTTTTACTATGAAGTAAAAAATAAACACAAATTTTAGCAATTATAGTTCAATATTATAACTGTGATCAATTAAACAATTTACAGGTCGTATTCCACAAATTCCCGAACCCGAACCATAACAATCAACAGTTTCATCATCTGAAGAATCGCTACTTTCACTGTTACTGTTCAAAGTTATGATAAACGGTTCATCTAAATATCCAACTTTTTTTAAATATCCGTTTTCAATTTTTTACATAACCTCAATATTTTTGCCATTCATCTGCTGATATTGTATTAAATCCATTTGGTATTAATTGCGGCATTCCTAAATCGGTGACGTTTCATAGAACTCCAAATCATTTCTATGGTGTTCAAATCGCAGTGTTATTGTGGCAATCTAAGAACAGTGTGGCCTTTATTTTTGCGTATATTATCGATTTTGTACTCTGTTGCTGGTTTGTGCCTCTTTATTAATTCATACAGCTGGGGTTTTGTGAAACCCTTGTACACAATGTTGTGTTGTGTTTCACATTGTTTTCAGTGAGCCACTTTTGCATATCACCTTTTCTAATAATAATTTCTATTAACTAATTTGCGCACGATTCGCTCACCAACACCTATAAAATAAACCATACTTTAATAAGAAAATATAAATCATTGGGTATGGGGAAATTCAAATTACGAAATCTGGCAGCACTAACCTGTGGCAGCAGTTATTCGTTCATATAATTTTTCAAATGGTATTATTGGGGCTTGGAGACGTTTCTCTTCCTTCATAAAGGCCAACACTTTTAAAATCATTTCTTGCGTCACTCCTTAATGCTTTCGGCATTTTTTCTATCACTTTCATCACAAACTAAGCAAAAAACACACGGCGTTGCGCTCTGCTTTGCAATGACATACAGAATGACGTATTCGAGATGGCAACTTTAGTTCCTGTTTTCGCCACCGGGTCAGATAACTTTGTGGGCCTATACCTAATACCTATATTTTGGTGACACAGACGCACACTTCTAAATACTCGTGGGACTAGTATTTTTGAGTACTTCTAGTCCTAGACTAAGTGTGTGTTTTTTCGAGTACGACTCACTTCTAGCGTCAATCGTCATACGCAGGGTTGCCAGACATGTTATTCTATATTTTACCGCCACCTCACCAAAATTGAATTAAGATTACCTATAGGATTGAATCTCATAATACACACAAGATACATAACCACCTCAGCAAAATCTCTAGACTCTTCTTATGACGAGTTAAGAGCATTAGAATCATCTGAAAATAGAATAGAAGGCTACTGATAACCCATAGACAGTTATTCAAAATTTTAAAGTTTCGTTAGATATATACAATAAATTTGTGTAACTTATGACACTGTAGATTGAAAATAATATACCGTATGGAGCACATTGATTTTTTCTAGAGGTTCTTCGATTATTATTATTAGTGGTTGGGAAATTATTTGCCATAGCTGGCTACATTAAGTACGCCACCTGTCGCACGCAGGCTTATATGGCACATACTAAAAGTATATTATTCTGTTTTATTCAAAGTACTCTGTGGATCGAGTTAGCATTAGGAAAAACATTCCATAATTAATTCCATATTTAATTGTCTTTGGTACTTGGTAGTATTAAGACATTCTTGAAATGTTGTTTCAAATATTAACTTGCACTAATGCATATTAAATTTTTATGGTTTTCTTGAAAAAATAATACCAGTAATGAGGTGTAAAATTAGAATAGTACTTATAAAATAAAAATACCAAACATGAAGCAGGTTGTTGAAGATAAATATTGTTGATATCAGAGTTTTTAGAGGAAAGAAGAAAATATTAAACATTTATAACGTAGCAAACATTTTTATAGGGGCTTTTACAAGGGTGGTAGCAGTGTTTTTTATTTTATTTATTTATTTGTACATTCACGCCTTTTTTCCAGAAATCACGGATTTCCTGACATACTTCTTTCGCTTCTTCCATGCATGCTCGTCGATTATGGGAATTTTTAACTTTATAATATAATAATAATATACCCTTTAAATTCCGAAACTCTGTCATTTTATATATTTAAACTTTAATCTATTTTCACTCCAGTATATCTCGGAGCTCGGTGTGCCTCTTGGCAAAGGCCTCCTCTAACCCTTTCCACTGGTCTCTATCTTTTGCGACTCTTCTCCAGTTGTAGCCTGCTGTCAGTTTCAGTTCGTCCTCCCATCTCTTGCGTGGTCGACCTCTTCTTAGTCTTCCGTCTCTCCCTAGAGATGGTACCCTTACCATTCCGTCACTATTTTGCTCAATTTTTCATGGGAGCTCCGTAGCATATGTCCGTCCATCTCCATTTCATTTGGTCAATCTTAGTGAGGATGTCTGTCACACCTGTTCTAGCTATTATGTCTGCGTTTATTTGTTTATCTAATTTTCTTATGCTCAGCGTGCTTCTTTCCATGGCTCTTTGGCAATGTGCTAGCATATCCCTGTGCTGGTTAAATAGAGCCCAAGTTTCGCAGCCATAGGTAAGGCAGGGTAGGATACATGTGTTAAAGACTTTATTTTTTGCTGAAATTTGTTGTCTTCATGATCTCCCTCAGTGACCAATATCTTTTCCATCCATTTGCTATTCTTCTTTTGATCTCTGGTGGTTATATCAGTTAGAGAGATAATTTGCCCCAGATAAATGTACTCTTCAACGTATGCTAGAGGTTGGTTATTAAGTGTTTTTTCGTATGGGATTGAATTTGATAGTAGCTTTGTTTTGCTTGTGTTCATTTCCATAGTTCGAAGAGAACTCTCATAAACTTGAAGAAATGATACAAAACAAAGAAAGTGAGAAAGTAGGCCTGAAATTTTTAACTTTAATTAAGTTTAATTATTTTTAACCCATATTATATTAATATGATTATTACATCATTAGTCTGTTAAGAACTGATTGTTCTGGAAAACAGCCGAAATTACTTTCGTAATATTCTTATTTTTTCTGGATTCCGTGAACTTGTGTGACCTGTCTTAAAAATTGTAGTGTATTAAATCATCAATGTTATAGACAAGGCATTTGAAAACATTAAAAAGAAACCGATAGTCATTGCAGTACTTTTACCTTTTTATATAATTATATATAATTTTTATATAATATTGAGCGTGCGTTCGTGAATTTACAATCTTTACTAATAATATATTTCGCGCCATTCAGATCGCTCAATAAAATTATTAAACATCGTTCTGTAAAATGCATACCTACTCTGAAAATAATCTGAATCTTTGAGGAGAATAGTTGTATTGTCCTGTGCTTTCTTATTACGTATTTAATTTAGTTTCTATTTTCTAAAGGTAAGTATATGTTTTTAGTTGAATGTTGTAGTAGTAATAAGTTTTCTATTTCATATTAGTACTATAAGGAGAGGAAATAAAAAGTTTGGAAAATCCAAAAGTGCACGCCTCATAGCGGTCATTCACATTTTAAAAACAATCTAAAACAAAAACCATTGATATACAAAAAACCCAAGATGCACACTCAACGTCAAAAAAACGTCCTCAAAAAATGAGCGCAACATTCTAAATTGTGCGCTCATTTCAAATAGTCTCGCGTCTACAGTGGAGTCGATGTTATTTATTTGTGTTTTTTTTATAAATAAATTTATGTACTCTTGAACTTCTTTGTGTGTAGTTTTTGACAAATATATTTACGCTATATAAAGTGTGGGTCAGGAGGTAGCCAATTTAACATTTTTTTTTTAATTTAAAGAAAAAACTTTTTAACCGGATTAAAGTTATGTATTATTATAAATTGACAACTATTTAACATCCAACACCTTTTGTCTTCAGTCACCGTGACCACTCACGCTGTAAAGCACCCGAAAAGTCGGATAAATTTAAAATTATGTTAAATAGTTGTAAATAAAAAAGTCATGTTCGACTCCACTCAATACCTTGTCCTACCGACCACGGTCGGTCGTAAAATTTTATTGCTTTAAGTACGTATACGCTGCGTTGTAATAACAACTTTAAGCAATTCGCGTAAGGTTGATTTTGCAATAATATATGCTTGTAACATATACTGTTATGGACAGAAATATTGTTTCGGGACACTTTCGAGCGTTACTTTTATATGAGACTGTGCATCTTGGGTTTTTTGTATATCAATGACAAAAACTCAAGTTTTTTAAAACAAAATTACAAATGAATTATTATTTTTAAGTCTCACGCTATTTTATAAAACGAAATTTACGTAGCGCATGCGCGAATCTTGATTTTCCACATACTCTTGCATATAGATAAATGAATGATTGAAAAAAAACAATAATATAATAAAAAAATAAAAAATAAATGAAAATGAATGATTGAAAAAAAACAATAATATAATAAAAATATATAGTGGCGCCATAACTCTAAAGTGAGGAAAAAATATACTAAAATAAATGTATATATAGATATACAAATACACAGTCGTATTTTAGTTTTTTACAAATTATAATTAAACGACAGTACTTAGAACGCTAATATTAACTAGGAATCAACCCAGGGTATAACTTTATATAATAAGAAAAAAAGTATTCTGGTACGATAAATTTTTCGACCAATTTCTCTGCCACATACCTACATGGATCCATAAACACAGACTGACGGACGTCCAAGAATGATTGATTTTAATGTTATTGGGCGTGTCTGGCCGAAGTAAGTACTTACTAAACTTAGTAAGCCAGTAAGCATAAAAAAATTAAAGTCTTACAAGCTGACTGTAGCGCTTTTCGGCCAGGACAGACTTACTGGCTTATTAACATAACACAAAACACCGGTTTATGTCATATCCCGTACATAACCTCATAGACTGAATATAATTGACAGTACTAAATTTAGGAATATAATTTAATACCTGTGAATAGTTTCAAATGGATAATTTTATGAGAAATATTTTATTGGATATTTTATTGTCCGTTTTGTTTACATCAACAATAAGCAAAATGGCGTCGTATATTAAGCCATACTTACTGCGTTAGCACTTATTTTGTGTCCCGGCCGAAAATTTTGTAAGCATAGTAAGTGACTTACTAAATTTAGTAAGTACTTACTTCGGCCAAACACGCCCATTATTTACTATGTTAAACAAAATAATTGTTCATAAAAAATACCATAATATGTGCTTGATACATTTTAGTGCACTCATATTATCCTGTAAGTGTTATATTAGTGAGAAAAAAGTCATTCAAGTTTCGAAAGACTGGGTTTTTTGACATGTCGAGAGTAGAGCACTGAGTTTGAGGTCATCCTTTAAAATGGTTACGCTACTGGCTTAGAACTAACATCAGCTGTTTGTTACTTCAGAGGTTCATTTTGAAATTTTTTACATTACTAGCTTGTACGTTCCCATATCAAGGAAAATCTTAAAAAACTACGTATCGATAACATTTACCAGCCCCAGCCGAGATAAGCTTAGCTGTAGGAATCACTTCAGAAGCACGATTTAGGGTATAAGTGGGTGTTAGGCATAAAAGGCTGATCACCTGCTTGCCTATAAAGTCAATGATGATAAAAGAGATGTAAAAACCTGATTATAGATTGTAGTTCCACATGATGTATATTTAATACAATTAAATGCCCATTCGTGTAGTTAGCACATTTGATATTACACATTCAGAAGATTGCGATGACTACTGAAAAAAAATCCCGTGTGGGGATATTTAAAATACGCTGTTTTCCATGTAAAAAATGCAATGACATATGGAATGGAGTGCGCTTGTCTTTTGCGGACTATTGTGCACTGTATGTCTCTTGCGTTAGCTATTAACCACATTTAAAAAGACATTAACAA